TTGCATTATGAGGAGATGGTGGGGACACCAAAGAAGACAGGAGTTGGTTTATGGGTTGGTTAGGCAGAGCCTGATGCAAGTTGTGGTCCTGACTGTCCCAGACTTACCTCTTGAGAGAAACGTAATGCCTGTTACCCCAAGACCCCTGAATTCACTCAGGAGTCCCAGAATGATCAAGATTAAAAAATAATACAAAATGATTAAAAACTCAAAGTATTCCAACATTGGCACTATCCTCTTCCTAGTGGAATCGCTTACTGTTGTCTGAATGTTAGCATGTTACTAAAGGCCAGAGCTATGCCCAGAGGAAAACATTACCAAACAAACTCGTCTCTCCCTTGATAACATGTGCTTCTAGAGGTGTGTTTTTTTTTTTTAAATTAAGTTTATTGGGGTGACATTGGTTAATAGGATCAGATAGGTTACAGGTGTAGATTTCTATGTTATAAGATCTATATACAGCACTGTGTGCCCACACCCAAAGCCAGATCATCTCCCGTCTCCATATATTAGGAACAAGTGCTTCTGAAAGGCTGTATGTGTGCTCAATTTTGAAGAAAGTCTACTTTGATTAGAACGATAAGGTGAATGCTTTTATTAAGTAAAGAAGCTTTATTTCCCCCATAATTTATTTATTTATGCTCACTGTTGTGCTTATAAGTTCCCGATGAAAGTGGTTTAGTTGCATTCAATCAACTTCTGGGTTGATTAAAATGTAGACACTGCCTTATAAGGTAGGAGGCAAGGCAAAGTGTTGAGGAGAATAGATGACTAATAACATTTCAATAATATAAAGAATTGTGTGGAAAATCCAACTGAATTAGTAATCACTATGTACTAGAATGCTTTAGTGGGAGCATTTACTAAAACTATTCTTATTTTATAAACTAGGGTATTTCTCCTACATATACAGAAAAGGAAGCCATTTACTCCCCATCCTGCCTAGTGGATTAGTTTGGAGGAATTAGTGCCACACATGTTTAAGATGTGGTATTAAATTTACAAGTCATTTGCTCCTCTATGAATGCAGTCTTCAAAAAGTATTTATAGTTTCTAGAAAATAATCTTAAACACTTAAAATTCTACTTTAAATGTTATTTATAAACACTATAGGTTTGCAAGAAATCTTTTTTCTAGTAGTCTAATGAATGGGGTGAGTGCAGTTTGCATTACCAAATATTCCAAATCAAAATAGTTATAAATAAATGGAATATAGATGGGTATTTTACAAAGGTAAATGAGAACTAGCTTAATATGTGGCTTTTCAAAGTCAGTTTCTCATACAGAATTAGGCCTTTTTAATTCTCCATATAACACAACCTGTTTCTGCTATTTCAAATAAGACTGCCTCACCGTAGCTGGTTTCACTTAGTGGATAGAGCTTGGCCCGAAGATGCTCTAGCTGGTTTGATCAGTGGATAAAGCTAAGCCTCTAGACTGAAGGGTTCTGGGTTTGATTCCGGTCAAGGGCATGTACTTTTGTTGTAGGTTCCCCTGCCCTGGTCAGGGTGTGTGCAGGAGGCAACCAGTCGATTTGTCTCTCTCACATTGATGTTTCTTTCTGTCTCTTTCTCTCCCTTTTACCCTCCCTAAAAATCAAGGGGAAAATATCCTCCAGTGAGGATTAACTACAACAAAAAATGCCCCTCCAGTGCATAGAATTTGGTCACCAAACAGTCAATGCATCATAGTGTATGCCAAGCACAGTGCTGCATTTTGCAAGGGATATGAGTAGAGTAAGACTGAATTTCTCACCTCCAGGGGAGAGTTCTCAGAATCATAATTAGAATAAAATGATGTTGATATAAATAGAGAAACACATAAAGGGCTTTTGAATCATGAAGGAAAGAGAGGGTGAATAAACAGATAAATATCACCTGTTTTGTTAGAATGCAAAAGAATAGTCAGGGAGAGAACTTGTATTTTATTTAAGAAATAGCAAGAGGATTAATGCTCAGAGTCTGAATCATAATAAAAACAAGGCAACAAAACTATAGGCACAGTTAAAGAAAATGCAGAGAGGAAAATGAGCTCCTGTGAGAAAAGGCATGAGAAAAAATGGGATTGATGGAGGTAGGAGGGAGGGGGCTTCACATGTCTGTTTGGAGGCCTGAAGTAGAAACTATTCATATGATGATTCAGTGATTCACACTTGATAATCAGTAAAAAAAAATTACTAGTACTTTAAGCTCCTTAGCCGAACATTTCAGAGAATGCTGGTCCTAGAGTGTGATTTTTAAAAAATATATTTTATTAATTTTTCAGAGAGGAAGTGAGAGGAATAGAGAGTTAGAAACATCGATGAGAGAGAAACATCGACCAGCTGCCTCCTGCACTGGGGATGTGCCTGCAACTAAGGTATATGCCCTTGACCAAAATCGAACCTGGGATCCTTGAGTCCACAGGCCAACGCTCTATCCACTGAGTTAAACCAGTCAGGGCTAGAGTGTGATTTTTAATGTAGCTTGAAAAGTCAGGATCCTTTCTTTTTAATTTGCTTGGAGGAAAGGTCTAAATTAAGGTATATATTCCTTCCTGGAGCATCAGGAAAGAAAACTGCTTTTTGTTTGTTTGCTTCTTTGTTTATTTTTATTTTTATTTATTTTTTTATATATATTTTATTGAGTTTTTACAGAGAGGAAGAGAGAGGGATAGAGAGTTAGAAACATTGATAAGAGAGAATCATTGATCAGCTGTGTCTTGCACACGCCCCACCGGGGATGTGCCTGCAACCAAGGTACATGCCCTTGACCGGAATCGAACCCGGGACCTTTCAGTCCGCAGGCCAACGCTCTATCCACTGAGCCAATCCAGTTTCAGCTGTTTGTTTATTTTTAGTCTTTTAGTCAATAACTCCACTCAACATACCCTGTGTGGAAGGGCACTTTGGGGCCTGGTTGCCTGAGGAGTTTTGTTACGGAGCCACCATAGCAGGTGCAGAAACATCCTCATCTCTGTGCTTTACTCCATAAATAACACTAATTATTAGAAAGCTCTTTGTCAGTATCAATCCATGGCAGTGTCGATGGAGACATTCGAAACACACTGAGATGGCCATACTTCCACAGTAAAAGCTAGCAAATCCCTGCCTTGAAGAAAATGTTTATCTTCTCACTTACAAAGGCACACCCTTGGCAGTGCTGAAGAGAACAGATACATACTGACAACTGCAGCACCTGACTGCTTTTGCCTGTAGCACCCTTTGCTCTGTACAGTGCTGACAAAGAGGGAACAGCAGTGTGCTCTCTGGAGCGCAATGCACAGTGTTGTTGTGCAACATTGCTACTGCAGTGTCAAGGCTGGGGGACTTTTCCCAAACATGGCAGGGTCCATTGACTAGCTTTAGAATGTCCACTTGACTCCTTCCACCAGGGCTGAAACATCCTTAGAATGTTATTTCTTCATGCAATTAACAATTTGTGGCATCAGTTAATTTACCTGCTTGACACTCTGTTAAAAGTAATTACTTTTGCCCTGGCTAGCATGGCTCAGTTGGTTGGGTTGCCAATTTGGATTCCCAGTCAGGGCAGCTGGTTGATGTTTCATTCTCACGTCGATGTTTCTCTCCCTCTCCCTTCTTCATTCTCTAAATATCAATAAAAATGTTTTCTAAGTAATTGCTTTTGATTGATAACCTCTCTGAAAGTTGAAGGACAGTGTAGATTCATTACAATAGTTATCCAACATCATTGGTGTGTTTCAAATGTAAAACCAACAATTTTTAAGTAAGCTTCGATTGTATTTTAGAGGAAATACATTAAATTCCAGGAGGGTTGAATAATTTACTCAGAGCCCACAACTATACAGGTAGAATAATGTTATTAATCGTTCATCCAGTTACAACGAAGCTGATATGTATAGATTAATTATGACAAATGGACAAGACCACCAGGATCTCCAGGAGACCTGTTCCTAATGCCTTCTTTATTACCCACAAATGTTCCTTCAATCATTCATTTGAATATGAATAAAAAAATCAAGAGACAGAGCATACTTGTTCTTATCCACTGTGAAACCAGCTGCGATGCCCTGGCTGCCATCCCCGCTCTGTGAGGCTGCGCCACCCTCATGCTCACTCTGGCCCTCCCCTGCCCTCAGCTCAAGGCTAGCACAGCAGCTCACATTCGTGCCCATGAACGGGGATATCACGCAGACACCCTTCTGGAAGCATTTAGCGCCCATGGCATATGCTTGCAATGATGGCAAAATGGGATGAGTCTATGCCAAGGTTGATGGAAAGCACACATTAGTTAAGAATTTTTTAAAAACCCGTATAAAATGTGAATGACTTGATTCTCGCAGGATGGTTTGCTGCGTTACTAAAGAAGCATGACGTGATTGGCCTCAATAGCTTATATAGCCTCTCCCTGACCACCCGCAGGCCTGCCCACTCTCAAACCAGTCGCCAAGCCCAGGGCCCCCAGCACATGCACACTGCTGCCACCACCCTGGCATGCATTTGCGTTCGCACTTCCCGCAGCCGCACATAGTGGATGATATGTAGCATGATGTGTGATCTCTGACAGTCCTTATAACTCTTCTGTTCTCATCTCCTTTTTTTTTTTCCTTTCTATTTCAATTACTTTGAGCAGCATCAAGAAAAAATTACCAATCCACCAAAATGCGTAAGTCCCCCTGTGAAGCCATGAAATGCTTGCTCTACATGACACCATTTCATGCTTCTACATCCTAAACTCTGACCATTTTGTCCTCCGGGAAAAATGTCAAGTTTAGGTGTCGAGAGCTCTCGTGACTTGACTAATCATTATAACCTTAATTGGAAGCGATAATAAAACCTAAGTGAGCTTACAGTTTGGTTTTAGAAAAAGCTTTTAAAAATAAAATAAAAAAGTGACAAGAGGCTAACCACCCCACCTGGCAAGGCCTGTGCACACGCACTGACGTTCATTTTTGTTCCTCCTCCTGAAACACGCCCCTCACTCACTCGACTGTCTCCCAGCATCCTTGCCCCTCCTGACTCTGCTGCTCTCTGCCAACAGGCTGGCCCACCCTGAAGGAAGCCTGCCAGACCTCACCATGCTGAACCTGACCGCCAGCCCGGAGAAGCCAGAGGAGAAGCAGGTGGTTGAGTTTGGTGAGGAGAAACCAGAGGGATGCTCTGAAAAAGTGGAGAAGGGTGAGCTTGGGAAAGACAGCAGCGAGGAGGAGGAGGAGGAGGAGGAAGAAGATGAAGAGGAGGAAGAGACATCAGGTAACTTACTCACTACCAGGAGCTGCTCAGGAAATGGTGGCAGACAGATCAGTGAATGCAGCACAGACTTCACCAAACAGATCCATATTGGATTGGTTCAGCAAAACAAAAATTGCCCTAGTGAAATGTTCCTGTTGCATTTGCACAAGGCAGAAAGAAAAAAAATGATGAATTTGATGAAAAGCTATGCTTAACATGAGCCTGACCGCATTGTGTGAGCTAGGCTGGGTCACGCTGATGCTTAGCGTTCACCTGCAATTGCCAGGGGAGCAGGCTCTTCCTGCTTCCAGCAGCCGGCTGCCTGGCTGCTCCCACCTGCCACCGAGAGCTTTACCCACTCTCTAGTCTAGCCCCTGGAAGGAGCATGGCACCTCTAGAAGCATGAGTTTGGCAATAAGAATGTCATTTAGATGAAGTTCATGTGACTTAATATTCCCAGAAAATTGGGGAATCATAGTACAGCTTTAAGAGATAATCAGGTCAAGATTCTTCTTCATATTAATTAAATTAAAAGGGAGATCAAAGTAACCTTGTCCTTGGACATGCTGTCTAAGTCATCATCACCACGTGTGAGTCTTAGACTACCTGTCACCAGATTTTGGAAATTTTAGAGTTCAACTGCTACTATTATTTTGCATCTTCTTATTCCAAACTGAAAGTTCCAAGATATGCTTTAAACAACAATGCCCACCCCCCTCAAAACACACACACACACAACAAACACGTTCACTTTTTTTATATTCTTGGGTGAATTCCTGTTTTGCAGATTTAAGGAACAAATGGCACCTGGTGATTGACCGCCTCACAGTGCTCTTCCTCAAGTTCCTGGAGTACTTCCACAAGCTGCAGGTGTTCATGTGGTGGATTTTGGAGTTGCATATCATCAAAATTGTTTCATCATACATTATCTGGGTCTCTGTGAAAGAGGCAAGTGAACATTTGTAGCAGCGTCAAGTCAAACAGTTTCTGTTCCAACTCTATTATTTTTTTGAAATGTAATTCCCAAAACATTAGAACATCAAGACCTGAGATAGGCACATACACTTTATTTTACAGAAAATGAAAGGACAATTGTCCCAAAGGAAGGGGGAACAAAATAGGGGAAAAGTGTCCTGGCTTAGTTACTAAATGGCTTGGACATATTATAAAGGTGGCTTGTTTTCATTAATTAAAGTGTGTGAGAACAAGCTACCTTTCTTTACTATAAGTGAGAAAATCTATCTCCCCAAATTCTCTTTGAGAAATAAACAATAGTTTATGTTACCAAAGAGTAAACTTGGATTCCAAAATTTGATAAAATTATGAATAGAGTTCATCTTATTTTATTATTGGACTAGAGGCCCAGTGTACCAAATTCATGCACAGGTAGGGTCCTAGGCCTGGCAGTGATTAGGGCCGATTGGGGCTTACCTCTCCTGGTTGCTGGCTTCTGTCTGGGGCCTTTCTTCATTCTACACAGCCCCCTGATAGTCAGTGCACATCATAGTGTGTGGTCAAACTCCCAAGGGGACAATTTTGCATATTAGCCTTTTATATATATATATATATATATATATATAGATCTTTTAAGACAAGACAGTAATAACACTTACTATTCGTAGCTCATTACTTTTGATTAATACAAAATATAGCCTTTCTCAAAAATTGCTGATCAGTAAATGGCAAAATGAGAACCAAGTCAGCATCCCCAGTTAAATCTTTAAGAGGTGTGACCACATTCTTTGAATTCAAACTATCCTCAGCCAGGGCTATCAGCCAGAGAGCTTGTTTTCACAAATGTTCATGGTCATTCTACCACTAACATTAAACCTTTCCAATGTTATCATTATGGGCATCCAAGAGAGAGAGGACTCTGAGAAAGAATTTGTTACAGAAACCTGTCTCATATCAACATTCCTTACTGAGGAACAATTCCACTTCGGAATGACCTAATTTAAAAATATATGTACCATTCTCTTCCCCTTTTATACATAACTATGTTTTCATTTCTAAGAATCCTAGAGTGCTATATATGAGATCAAGTTATTCTTTGAGGAAAGGGACTATATATTTCTTCTAGTATCCTTAGTAATTCCCAATGGGTCTGGCCAATTGTAGAAGCACAATGAATGTTTACTGACTGAAGGAAGGAAGCAAAGAACTTTGCAAGCTTGAGATTCTTCCGAAATGTCAGATGATGTTTCATTATTATTATTTTTTATTATTACTTTCACTCTCACTAAGAATGCATTTAGCCTTTCTTAAATGCTTATAATAAATTACAATAAATTGAATGCTTACCCTGTGCTAGATGCTGGTATAAAGGCATTAAAAACACTTCTGGTCTCAGCTTGCAATCTAATGGTAATTGCTGGTAAATAAAACCAAAATCACATTAACTATTGGGTTACAGATATCCTCTAGAAGCTCTGGACACACAGGGAGGGAGACGGTACACAAAAGGTTGCATTGAAGTTGTGGGTACTCTGAGAGAGGGATGGGTAAACACAGGGCCAGGAACCACAGTTCTTGGAGGCTCCTCTCTCAAGGCAGTGGCTTAAAGCTTCATAAGTTTATGTTCAGATAAAATGACAATTTGTGTAAAAGTGTTTTGTTGGGAAGGCATTATGGAATAAAATTACCGTCCAAAATTCTTTGATAATGAAAAGCATCTGGACATTTGTTCTATAGGATTATCAGTCATTTCCCTAGGAATTCTGACCACTGAACATGACCTCACTCTTGCCTGTCTCCAGAACACCTTCACTGGATATCTCTAACACTGAGCTCATTGCCTCTATCTGTATCAGTCCTTGTTTTCAATTGCTCTAACAGATTCCTAACTCTGCTCTAATCCTTCCTCCTAATACGCATTCTGTCATGCAGTCAGAATCATTTTTTTTTTAGCATGATCATGTTCATCTTCTACTTGGAAACTTCTAACAGCTCTCTGTCATTCTCCCAATAACACGATATAACATTGAACTGGTCCTACACCACTTCACCATTTCCTTTCCCAGACACCCAATCTGCCTGGTGAATTTCAAAGTCCTCTACAATGGACTCAGATCACACTGCTCTCACGGTAAACCATGTGCTCCTCCAAAGCAAGATGTCCACCCCATGCTTTCTCTTGCCTATAAAGCCTTGGACCAGTGATTCCTCTGCCAGGCTAACTCCAGTTTGACTGCAGGTCCTTTGGACAATTTTCCCCAGTGCTGGGCTAGATGATCAGCTGTGTGTGCCACACATCTCGACTCACTCCAGCAGGGCTCTTCCTCTGTCATGTTGCCATAGGCTGCTTACCCAGTTCTCGTTGGCATGACCCCATGTGTTTCTTGAAGATAGGGACCCACACAGGATATGTTACCTTGAACCTAGTTAGGACTTAATAAAAGATAACATTTTTCTTCTCTTTCTCTCTAAAATTTTATTGTACTATATTTATACTTAATGCCTTAAATACCTAATAAAAAATAACAAAGAGACTTAATTTTATAGTATCCTTACTAGGATTTACTTTTTAATGTACCACTTGTTGGTAACTGAGGAGGAGGAGTGACCTAGCTAGTCAAAATATTTTGTTAAATGTTAACATTTATTATGTTGGTGAATGCCTTACATTTACAGGGCACTTCTACATACAGTATTTCTTTCATCCTCAATTAACTCTGTAAGGCAGCTCTTACTACCCTAAGATGTCAGCACTTAATTCTAAGCAGTTCCTTGCTCTGGACAGTGTCTAGTAGTTAAGTAGAATAGTAGATTATAAATTGCAGACTTAAATACTGCCCTGGAGTCTCCGTGTTTCTTGCTGTCTAGATTTGTGAGCCAAATAGGAACCATACCCCCCTAGCCCATGGCACTTAGCACTTGTAGTACATGTTCAAGTTTGCCAATTGGCTGCTGCGGTAATTTTTACCCGATAATATTAAGTATTCCTAGAGAATTATTTTAATAATATTCAGATATTATTCTAATAATACCCAGAATAAATACATATTTTCCATAGCTGAATAAGATGGTGGTGCTTCCATACCATTCAGTGAATGATTAGCTATGGAGAACTCTTAGTCATGAGTGCATATCTCACCTAATCAATACTCACAGTCTTAGACCAAGTTGAAGTTATTGCCTTCCCTCTTTCTAAAAATATATTTATTGATTTTTAGAGAAAGTGAAGAAGGAGAGAGAGAGAGAGAGAGAGAGAGAGAGAGAGAGAGAGAGAGAGAAATATTGATTTGTTGTTTCACCCATTTTTGTATTTATTGGTTGACTCTTGTATGTTCCCTGATCTAGGATCAAATCTGAGACATTGGCATATCAGGGATGATACCCTGCCAGGGCCTTGCCTTTTCTCTGTACACCTGGGCCTCACTTCAGATTCTATCTCAGTAGTGGCACTGTTACTCTTATCAAAGCCAGAAAGCTGGGAGGCATTCCTTACACTTTCTCCCTGACCTACCAGCACCCCGCCTCCAAGCCAATCAATCATTAAATCTAACAATTTCACTTCCCATCTCTGCTCCACTATCCGAGTTTGGATCCTTGTCATTGTTCTCCTGGCCTATTATAGTGCATATGACTGGTCTCCTTTCCTCTGGTGCAGTGATCAGCAAACTGTGGCTCTGTTGACTAATGAGTTTGCTGACCACTGCTCTGGGCTAACCCCATTGATACACCTCTGTCCTTCGGTTACATGTATCTAGATAAAATGCTAACCTTTCCTTAAGGTTTCCCTGCGTAGAGCCCTGCAGACTCACTATTTTCTACCTAAGGGGTTCATGGGCCACAGCATAGTTTTAAAAGGGTCTGTCAGAACGTAGCTCTCAGCCATATCTCCCTCCAGTCTCATACTGCAGTTCACTGCTTTCAACTCCGGAACTCCCAGTTGTTTATGGTCACCTATTGTCACCACACTCCTTTATGCTTTCCTGCCTTTGCTCACACACCCTTTACCTCGAATGCACTTCTCACCTTTCTTGTCTTGGCTAACGTTACGCACCCCTCAAGGATCAGCTCAGCATCATTCTTTCCAGGAAATGTTTCCTGAGGCTCCAGATGGGGGCAGGGACTCCTTCTGGGTATTCTCACAGAGCCTGTTTGGATCTACAGTTTATTACTGCTATGTTATGTTGACATCATCTGGTTATATATCTGTCTGCCATACAAGACATATATCTTAGTATCTAGGGCAATGCTAAGAACTCAGTCAACTTCTGCTGAACTGAGCTGAGCTGAATAAATCAAATTGCCATGTTTTGTGGGTGTTATGCCATGTTATGTATTTTTGTCCCCATTTCTGATTTTATGTTTTCAGGTGTCTGTGTTCAACTATGTATTTTTGATTTCTTGGGCTTTTGCTCTGCCATACACCAAGCTACGCCGTCTGGCTTCAAGTGTCTGCACTGTCTGGACATGTGTGATCATCGTCTGCAAAATGTTGTACCAGCTGCAAACCATTAAGCCTGAGAATTTTTCTGTTAACTGTTCCTTGGTGAGCCTCAAAGTTGGGGGAATCTTTTTGGCCTTTAGGGAAATGAGGTGGAGATTGGGGAACCTACACCTCCAAGCACAATCTTTCTGGCTGTTAAATCACCTCAGCAGGCTGAATCCATTCTGGCCTAGAATGCTGGGCCCAAGTCTCTGTTCCTGCTGAGATTTCCCATTTCAAATGGGTCTTTGTCCCTCATGTTCTTTTGCTCAAAACTGAAGGAGAATAACCTGAATTCTCCTTATCTGTGGAACTAATTCCTTTTCTCTTCTTTTTAGCCAAATGCAAATGAAACAGACATACCCCTCAACCAGTTGAACAAGTCTCTACTCTACAACACTCCTGTGGATCCAACAGAGTGGGTGGGCCTGAGGAAGTCTTCACCATTGCTCGTCTACCTGAGGGTAAAGGCTTGTTGTGCTGAGTTGGTGCCTCTGTGTACTTATGTTCTAGAATCCTTTCCCTTGAAATCCCTAATATCACAAGGATAGGACCTCATCTTCTGTGGCCTTTAGGATCACCTTTTAGACAAATGACTCAATATTAAAATCAGCACCGTTTTGTGCTGAAAAGAAATTTATTAAGTAGTTTGTGGTTAATTGAATAAAGTGTGACAGATATAGTCACTGGAACATTATAGAAGTACTAAAGGACTGAGGGAGATTAATAATGTCAGACATTAAAAGATGTTCAAAATCTATTAATTAAGTTTTTAAAAATGTTAGAGTATCTTACATAGTATAATCTCTTTTAGATATAAAGAAAATGTTGAGTAAAATATAGCAAATGGTCAGCAATGATTGTTTCTGAGAAGTAGGTATAGCATTACAAGAATTTTTTGCTGTATAAATTCTGTTTCTCTATAGTTTTTAATAAAGGGTATATATTACACATAGAGGTAATCAAATAAAGAGCATATATTTAAAAAAGAAACTTTGCAAGCTGTTATAAGAAATGTAATAAAAGTAATATACTTCATATCTTTTACCTTTTCCTTTGATGGATAATCTGAGTGATCTTAATAATATTATGCTGAGAAGGTATTTAAAAATGAAACATTTATATACACAACACCTGAAATTTTAAAATATACCAAGGATCCCATTTCTCTTTGATTCTGGCAGATATCATATGGCAGATAACATTTGTAATGTTTATAAATAGTATTGGCCACATCTGTCATGTAATATGCAGATGATATCTAACATAAAGAGCTGTTTTATGGATAAAACAAATTGATATTTGAAAGAAGTGATTAGAATAGTATCTGGCACATATAGTTCCATCAGTGTGAACTATTTTATTATTATTATTATCATCACTATTATTATTGTTACTATTTTATCCTCATGTTTCTCAATACTGCTCTCTCTAGCCAGATTTCAGAAGTATTAAAAAATTTCCCCTCTCCTGCTTATCGCACTCCTCCAGCTTAGTGTGTTTCCCAGGATGTCCTTATAGGACACTGTAGAAGTGTTTAGCACTTCTAGGTGCCAATAAAGCGGACCCAACCTCCTAAGATAATTAGACACTGCTTCCTGGGAGAAGTTTGTACTTTTTCAGGAACAGGCTGTTGTCTAGAGAGTCTAGATTGTATTATGATGTTAATTAACCTGATTTGCATAATGACACTAACTCTACCTTGTTACCAGAAAGCAGGGAAAATGAACTTTGAATTCAAGACTAGTTATTATAGAGATGGGATTTTATAAAGCATTATATAACATCAAAAATGGAATCAAATTATTTATTGTGAGGATTGTTTAAAATTACCAAGTAACAAAGCCTTTGGCTTCCCACAGCTGTGTTTTTTTGCTTTGTAGAATAATCTGCTGATGCTGGCCATTCTGGCCTTTGAGGTTACTGTTTACCGCCATCAGGAGTACTACCGGGGACGAAACAACCTCATGGCCCCTGTATCTAAAACCATCTTTCACGACATTACAAGACACCATCTGGATGATGGAATTATTAATTGTGCCAAATATTTCATAAATTACTTCTTCTATAAGTTTGGTCTGGAGGTAAGTTTCCTTGCGGGTGTGTTTTCTGTTTTCTGTGACAATCCCAATAGCTGCTTTTGGGTAGGTAGGCTACTGAAGTTTCATCCTGCACCTCCAGGCCATGATTATGGATCCTGGGGATTAGTGGGAGGAGATGCTACTGAAGGGCTTACCTGGCCTGATGGAAAGTTTTCCCACACCAAGTGTCAATGGCACCCTTGCAACAGTGACCTCTACCTCTCTGGATTTCTGTGGTCCTACAGACACATGGATGCCTGTCACTCATCATTTTAACTGGTTCCATATAAACTGAAGATGTTATAATTTTTTTTTCTGTTTCCTGTATTTGGAAATGTAACTTTAGCCAAAATGAACCCTTTGACCTGAAATGGTGGTGGTAGTGCCTGTTCCTCAGTAGAATGAATGTGAAACAGTGACTTTCATGAAGAGACCATAGCTGTAGTTCTCTTCATGGTTGAAGTGGTTCTTGTAAATAGTGAATTAGCCAGTGTTTCCCTTGGAAGTAAACTATACAGTATTTGTGTCTAATCTGTACAGTGTCTCCGTCTTCACCTTTAAAGACATGTCCCAAGACAAGACCTGGTGAACATGTGCAGAGAAACCTACCTCAGGAAGGCAGGTGTCTGCCCCTACAAAGGGCTGATAGCTGACACCACTCCCCTTTCCTCTAAACCCGATTGTTTTGCCTCTTGTTTCCTTACACAGACCTGTTTCCTACTGTCAGTTAATGTGATCGGTCAGCGAATGGATTTCTATGCCATGATTCACGCCTGCTGGCTGATCGCCGTCTTGTATCGACGCAGAAGAAAAGCCATCGCGGAGATCTGGCCCAAGTACTGCTGCTTCCTGGCCTGCATCATCACGTTCCAGTACTTCATCTGCATCGGCATCCCCCCTGCGCCCTGCAGAGGTGCGTGGCCTCCCAGGAGCAGCTGCTCTTACCATCCACCCTTACGTTTGGCTCGGTGGGCAAAGGGCAGCAAAGAGGCTTATTGATTTTGCTCCTCACCACCTCCCTCCCTGCAGATTACCCATGGAGATTGAAGGGTTCCAACTTCAATGACAACATCATAAAGTGGCTGTACTTCCCAGACTTCATTGTGCGGCCCAACCCCGTGTTTCTTGTCTGTAAGTGTTGCAGCCGTGGGGCCAGAGCACTGGTATTTGGTTTTATATTTGCTAATCCATCTGCATGCATTAGCATTAGTGCCTTTGCTTCTTCCACTACTCTTTATAATCATGTAAAGGGCTTGTCTTGATGCATTAATATCACAGGTCATTAATGGATTCTACAATACTTGCCCTATAAACATTTGCAAAATTAATAAATAAACGTTGAAATACCATATTCACTTTCATAACTTACCTTCCAACACACACACACACACACATACACACACACACACACACTGTGCCCCCAACACATGCCCCTGCACACCCATCTTCTAGAAAGTAGAGTGAGGATGGAGGCCTTATACTTTGCGAATCCGTTTTTTCTAGCTGCCACCACAGACCAAATCTGAAGATAAGACTGTGCTAGCCAGGAACGTGCTACTCAAATTGCCAAGGCTCCTGAGCTGGGCCCCAGCCCCAAGTCCTGTCAAGGGCAGACTGATAATCCAAAGGTCAAGGTTATCCACTCCTATCCAGGGAGTGCTGGATCCAGTGGAAAACCAAAGAGCAACTTAGCTACCTAGACACATGCAAATTTAGTTTAAAGAACAAGACAACTTAGACTGGAGGCTGGCTGCCTGGCTGGAGTGAGGGCCTCTTCCGGGCTGTTGGCCATGAGGACCACTCCATCACATGTCTCCATTCTCACAAATCGACCCATTGTTGTCAACTGCTGTCACCCAGCCTTAGCTACACTATGTGCTCTGGATAGAGTCTTTGATCACAAATGTAAAAGGGAATGGAAATGACAGAGAAAATCAGAAATGTCTGCTTCCACCATATGCAAAAAGATTCAGATGAGGAAAATGCTCAAATGGCCTCCTCAACACATTGGTGGGAGATAAGTGCAAATAAAGAGAGTCTTAAAGGCCAGTGATTGGCACCTGATGTTTTTACTCAGCAACATGCAGACACAATCCTAGGACTCTCTCACTTCATGCCTCTGGAATGTCTGTGGTTCCTCTTGCAACGCCCATGGTAAGGAAGGTGGGACTTAGGCCCAACATTGGAATCAGGTTTAGGAACACAACTCCCTTGAGAGTTAAAGAGCAGCTCGTGCTGTATGGGGACTGTTACCTGCATCTGCAAACCCAGGTTTAATGATCTTACCTCTGCCTTGCCAGATGACTTCATGCTGCTTCTGTGTGCCTCCTTACAATGGCAGATTTTTGAGGATGAAAATAAGGCTGCAGTACGGATCATTGCAGGGGATAATGTGGAGATTTGCATGAGCCTTGAGGCGGCCTCCTTCAGCCAATATAACCCAGTCCCAGATTTCATTCACTGCAGGTAATGACAGCTGCATGGTTCAAAGCCACTTTGGTGCATGCCCTTCAAGTATATACCTCTATTTCTCTCTCTCTCTCTCTCTCTCTCTCTCTCTCTCTCTCTCTCTCTCTCTCTCTATCTATCTCTATCTCTATCTCTATCTCTATCTCTGTCATTCTTGGGACACTGAGAGGTTGCTTGTACACATAAAACCAATAAGCATGTGTCAGAGGGGTTCAGTAGCTAAAAGTGAACCTCTGAGTCAGATATATAATATGGTTTTTTACCCTCATTAAAGTAGAATCTCCCAACCTAATGTGTTTATTTGTTTTTGTTGTTGTCCTTTGATGGTTTGGTTTTATTTTCCAGATCATACTTAGACATGTCCAAAGTGATCATCTTTAGCTACCTCTTCTGGTTCGTCCTCACCATCATCTTCATCACCGGGACAACACGGATCAGCATCTTTTGCATGGGCTACTTGGTGGCCTGCTTCTATTTCCTGCTCTTTGGGGGTGATTTGCTATTGAAACCTATCAAGAGCATCCTGCGTTATTGGGACTGGCTGATTGCTTACAACGTCTTTGTGATTACAATGAAAAACATACTGTCAGTAAGTGCCTCTCACTGTGTAACACATTTGTGGTTTCTGTGTAAGAGTAAATTCAGTGGTTATTAAAAACCCATCATCCATCACACTGCTCTCTTAAAAGCCCTAAATGAGCTGCTGCAAATTCAGAATTCAAATGACCATTTATTTCTATTTGTTTTACCACATTAAGCAGAATCTTTTTTTTCTTTTTTCCACTATCTGAAGGTCACATGATGAGAGAATATGTATTCGTCGGAATAAACTCTAAAACATATTTTATTAATTAAAATCCCATCTCTTCTGAGGACTAATTTATCATCATTCTTACTATAGTGCAAAATGGCCCTTTAAAGCTGGCTAAAAGCAACTCTCTCTTATCTAGAAAGTGTTATTAAATACAAAAGCATAGTTTTCTATGATACTGTGTGGGAGGGGAATGAAATGGAATAGACTATTGAAAGCATGAAGGTTTTATGTACACATAAGATGTGGGTGGACACAGAAGCATCACAGTGTCTTAGCTGCCTCTAAGCACAGGCATTCTGAGCACAGGCATTTTGACCAGGGCCCAGCTAAGGCAACAAAGGATTGAGGCAGAAACCACCTCTTTCTTCCTCAAAGTTTGGCTGCTCTGCTCTCAAAGCTTCATGTTCCAGAGCACAGGTTTCTCCCTGACCTGATCGATAACTCAAACTACCCCCTTGTAATCCCAGAGTCACATAAAATCTTTCAGGACACAATTATTTGTTATTTCAGCATATTAAACAATAATCTTTCATGAACTGAAGGAGTTAATACATCTCTAGTTGGCCCTAACTTAAAGTTAATCCTAGTACATGCTACTTCCAGGCTATACCTGATAATGCATTAAAAGAATGGTGATGTAATGACTTCCTACTTCTCCCCCTCTTAGCTACTTAAAGATGAGCTCACCAGGCAGGCAATTTAACTCTGAAAGCATTTGATTTGGGGAGGGAGAGAGGGGGCAACGGCTCATCCATTGCTTTGTTTAGAGGTCCTGGAGAGTCAAGTCTGTGTAACCATGAATATGTATTTGAATAATTTATTTTGTCTACAGTCCATTGAAATGTTAATTTTCTAATTGATACTAAAAGTGACTTTTATTAATTTTACTGCACCAGTATTTATGTACATTTGGAGTAGTTTTGGAAGTTATAGGAGAGGGTATGAGGTAGGGCAACAGAACACCATTTCATTCTAAAACCAATCTGATGGTGAAGGATCCATTACTTGAAGCTGATACCTACAACCTTTCCTGAAAAATCTGTCTACAAAGTTCATCCATTCATTCTGTAAACCTAAATTGTACTTCTTTTTGCTAAGCACTGTTTTATATCTTGAAGAGCTAAAGATATACAGCACTCAAATTTTATCCTCAAGGAACTCACTTTTTGAAAGGAAAGATCTACCTTCTTATAATTATATGATCTTTTGATGCTAATTATCACAAGGGTTCAGGAAAATAAAACAAAAAATGGGTATGTAATATATTGCCTAGATAAGTTGGGAGCAGACTTCTTAGAGGTGATGCCATTTGAACCCACCAGAGGAGACCTGAGAGATAGATTGAAGGTGCCCAGGTAGACAAAGCAGCTAGAATATTCCCAACTTGGGAAGCGTGGCTGTGTAGGACTGAAATATAAATTACCCCAACCATGTACTGATGCTGGGTAACTGCTGGTTTGGGAGCAAATTCTAATTATATTCTCCCATCCCCAAGAAATCTGCATAATTCAGCCATCACTTTTATGTGTTGGATTATAATAATTCATATTTAATACATGATAAGAAAGCATTGTTATAAGACAGCCACATTCAAATAAACAAAAACAAAAAAGATTCCTTTACCCAGAGAATTGGCAAGGAGAAGGAGGATGATGAGAAGGAGAAGGAGAAGGAGAAGGAGAAGGAGAAGGAGAAGGAGAAGGAGAAGGAGAAGGAGAAGGAGAAGAAGAAGGAACCTCTGCTCCTATTATAAGAACTATATATCATGCAGCTCATGTTTATGATAATGTCTTGGCAAATAGCATAGGTTTCCTATATCTGACAGGAAATAATGACTAAATTCAAAGTCCTGGAGTTCAGTGCTTACCCATTCACTATCACAGAGTTCAGCTTGTTTCTTTGATAATCCAAGATTTTTCTCTTTAAAGGAAAGGTGCTTCCAAGTGCAACAACATCACATTAAAGCTGCTTACTTTACTCAATAGGTCTAATTTTCCCTGGGAAATGATGGTGTTCTGGAAGCACTGATAGCACTACCCAGTGGTGACTATAATTTTACATGTCAGGGCCTCCCACAGTCATTGGCACTGAGACTTGGTGAATTCTTGCACACGTTAGGACCACAAGACATCAAGCTTTTCTTTTCCTGGGTGCAGAGTTTCAGAATTTGCCTTTTCCATTTTTTTTTTATTTTTTTTTTTTGCAGATAGGAGCATGTGGATACATTGAAAATTTGGTTAAAAATAATTGCTGGTTGATCCAAGCTTTCAGCCTGGCCTGCACAGTCAAAGGCTATAAAATGCGTAAGTATGAGAAGCATATTTGGGAATGGAAGAACAAAGAGAAGGACAGCTGTATTGTTATAATTTAACATTGGGTCAAAACATGTAAGAGAGAGAGAAAGAGAGAGAGAGAGAGAGAGAGAGAGAGAGAGAGAGAGAGAGAGAGAGAGAGAGAGAGAGAGAGAGAGAAATGGAGTTCAATTTAATCTCTACATGGAGATTATAGGATTGCACTACATTATGAATCTATTGTCTGTAATAAGAAATGATCTTATTCTGGTCATCGTAGATTGTCATCTACAAACACCCCAAATCCTGGTAGGTCTGGAGGCTAGGTGTTTCCTGTAGTAGCTCCCAGAACTTTTTTGAATTATGATCAGGAAGAGTTACAGATGCCCACTCAAACCTGTGGTTGTGTGCAGTTAGAATCTTCAGTCATCAATGTAGTTCTGACTTCCATGTTCTTCTCTCCTCTGGAAGCTCAGAGAACCTCAAACCCAGGAAATAAGTAGAAAGAGCTGGAGAAATTCTGGAGTTACACATCCGCCAAGACAGAGCCAGAAATCCCATTTTCGTCTCTCTGCCTCTTGCATCAGAACCCAGGGCAGCACCACACACAATCCTCCCTGGTGCCTAGAACGGGGGCGACTTGAACAAGACGCTCCCCCACTGTGTGGAGGATGAAGGGCCATGGGGGATTTGCTTTGACTTAGGATCAGATGTGCTGTTGAGACTTCTTCTTCTAATAAGCCCCATTGCGCTGCCTACATCTGACTAGAGCCCATTTCCAGGAAGGGTCTTTTATTTTGTACCAGAGCATTGCCTCTGGCATTGAGTTGTGCAGTCATTATTTCTTTATGGCCTTTGTTGGGGGTTGGGGAAAGAGGAATTCCTCTCTCCCTAAAAGTGGGGAACACTCAGGAGTCTTCCTTAACAAAGAGCCCCTCCTGTGCTTTACATTGTCAAGAGTTTGCTTTGCGGTCAGCCTTAGGGATCAATGTTCCTATTGGATTTTAAGGGCATGGCCTTGCTCTTCAATAAATCAGCTCTTAAGTCAGTGGATGGATCAGAATGTTGCTTTCATGCCTGTGATTTCCCAGGCCTGATCGCACCTCAGGTTTTATAAAATAACAACAACAAAAGTGGATGTTAATTTTAAATTTTTTTGCCTCAGCTAATTCTGATGCCTCATGTAAACTACCCAGCGGTGAAGCAGGAATTATTTGGGACAGTATATGTTTTGCCTTCCTCCTGCTGCAGAGAAGAGTTTTTATGAGTTACTATTTCCTACACGTTGTGGCGGATATAAAAGCTTCACAGATCCTGGCATCAAGGTAGGGCAGACTTCTTAGTTTCCACTCTTCTTCCAGTTTTTGCCCCTGGTCTTGTAGGTGTAGGGGGAGAGACTAGGAAAAGGACTAAGTATTAAAAGAAGTGCCATCAAGATGGCTAGGTGTGTGACCCCCTAGTCTGCTGTACCCATATCAGAGACACTAGCCAATTAAACAGTGTAATCAGTGACCTTGACAAGTGAGAATCAGAACCAGACACTGGTGAGCCAAGGTTGGAAGTAAAGGCTTGGAGGCAGGGGACTTGACTTGGGGAGGTAAACACACAATTCAATGTACAGATGATGTGTTGTAGAATTGTGTGTCTGAAACCTGTATAATTTTACTCATCAGCATCACCTCAGTAAACACATTCTTTAAAAAGCAAAGACTTGGAGATAGTGATGTAAGATCTTTGATGATCCCAGGGCAGTGATATAAGGCTGTACGTAGGAAAATGTGGGGTCCGTGGGTTCTTTTGCTAAGATTTGAGAATATTTGCATGCCTATAAGCAGGTTTCAGTAACAGTGTGAAGGTTGAAAGTGAAGGAAGAGAAGAAGAAAAAGGAAGGATGGAGTCCCTCAGTCTGCAGGTGGGGAAGGGACCTGAGCACAAGGCAGGTCTCAGGCAAGAGAATGTCACCTCTTCCTCTGTCACTGAGAATGGGTATCCACAGGATAGGTGGTGGGAAGCTAAGCAAATACTTGCTTGGAACTTATGTTCTCTCTGGGAAGTAGGAAGCTAGGTGTTTACTTAGGAGTGAAGAGCCGCTGACAGAATTCAGGACTTGAGAAAAGAGTAAGAAGTGTGAAATGCCCACTGGAAAGGAGCAGACAAGCTTCCAGAGTGTGGTGCAGTGGTTCGTCGGCCAGCCATGGGTTTCCGCACCTCTGATGATAGCCCCTCCACATCCAGGGCTGGCACATCACTGAGATTCTGCAGACCTGCCATTTGCCAAGCGATTGTGACCTGTGATGATGGGACAGAGTTGAGGATGTTGAGAGAGATGGACGATATCTATGGGGACCCTTAAGTTGGCTTGGGATGTGAGAAAAAGCCGAAGGGAGGAGAAGGACAGAAAGAATAGAATCAAAGAGGCAAAAGACTAAAAACCCCATTGATGGGGTTTGCAATTCACATTTGCACTTTCCCTTATGTATTGAGTAGAAAACCAATCTGAACTCACTCTTACACATGTCCTCTAGTGGGACAACTAGAAGAAGGTCAGGGGAGTAACCTGAAGTATAACGTTACGTGGGACAGGTTTGAAGTGGCTCATGGCTTTTCAGGTCTTAAGCTACACAAACCATTTTAGTTTCACTGATCTCTCAAGGGTGTGAGCAGCCACTCTTTCCTGGGGGAGGTTGTGCCATGTCTGTCTGCTTGGAAAGGGCCAACAAACTTCAGTCTACAGTCCAACAAGAAATGTTTTCGAACCCTTATTGTTATTTTAGGGGGGAGGTGAGTAACAACAGTAGAAATACTAATTTGTTCTGTTTCCAATTTTCCTTTAGAGGGGCTGAACTTTTCCAGGCCACAATTGTAAAGGCTGTGAAAGCAAGAATTGAGGAAGAGAAAAAGTCAATGGATCAGTTGAAGAGGCAGTAAGGATGCTTTATTTTCCTCTCCTCTGTGTCTGTTAGTTTGGGTTGGTATGATCCCATTCAGACACTCTCAGCTCTCTCTCTGGAAGCCTCAACCCCCTGAAAAATCGGTTCACAACTTCCCAGGTATTTACTGGTATGCCTGGTAGGCTGACCATGGAGGTCATTAAAAAGAAAGGTGGCTACAATGTGGTAGAAAGGGAGCCGGCTTGGGTAAGGCCAATGTCAAGGCTTAGTTTGGTTGCTTCTTTTTTTTTTTTTTTTTTTTTTAATATATTTTATTGACCTTTTTTCTTTTTTTACAGAGAGGAAGAGAGAGGGATAGGGATAGAGAGTTAGAAACATAGATGAGAGAGAAACATCAATCAGCTGTCTCTTGCACACCCCCCACTGGGGATATGCCCGCAACCAAGGTACATGCCCTTGACCGGAATCAAACCTGGGACCTTTCAGTCCACAGGCCGATGCTCTATGCACTGAGCCAAACCAGTTTCGGCTGGTTGCTTCTTTTGATAACTTGAGGGAGTCATTCACATTCTCTGGATTTTAATGTTCTGCTTTAAATTAGGGCTGACAGTTCCCCTTGAGGTTTTTAGAAAGATTAAACAAAGTAATCAATGAGAGAGCATCCTCCACAGTGCCGGGCACTTGGAGTAAATGGTCATTACATCTGTGGGTTAAGGGAATAAATGCAGAGTTCTGGCTCTGGAAGGATCTTAAGAGATAATATAATCCAGTCTCTTTGGGAAGAAACTGATGACCCACAGTATTAGATCATTTAAAATTCGCAACTAACTAGAGGCAGCACTAGAAATGCAACTCACACTTCCCTATATTCAGTTCAAAACCTTTTCCAACAGAGCATCCTGGAGAAGTTGAGTTGAGTTCATGGATTGACTTCACCCAAGAGATTTGGGAATTTTGGATTCGGGGGGGAGGGGGTTGTTTCTTTATTTTTAGCACATTGTAAAGAATTTTCTTAGAGTGGGATTTCCAGCAATAAATGGAACTTCATGGGTTGGGGGTGGGGGCAGGTTTAAGAGCTGATGGCTTAGAATTCAACTCATAATAAAAATTCTCTGAGTTTGCTTAATCTAGTTCATTTCATTCTGACTTCATTTTTACTCATGCAAAAATATTTGCTAGTACAAATTACACTTATTCCATGGCATGGTTGTTTTTTTGCACTCACATATATGAACTATATAGTGTGATATAGTGTAACTGTCACTATTGTTGTTTCTAAATACCTAAATCAGGTCTAGATAAATAACAAATTTGGAATGTGTTCCCATAATAAGGTCTGTTACTGTAATTTACTTCACTGAATTTTTTCATTGGCTTAAGTGATAGAAGGTCAGAATAAAACAGAATGAAGGCTGTGCTCATTGCAAAAGACAAACTGAACATGTTTTAGCTGCACAAAGCAGAAATGGTGCTTAAATCCGTTCTTGAGCAATATATCCAGAATTTTAAGAAACTGAATTAAACAATGAAACATTTTAGGAGAACAGATCTAGGAAACAGAGTTCAACATTGCTGTTTCTAAATAAACTTCCTAAATAAGCAGACAAAATAAAGGTACTAAGTCAATATTTAAAGATGCAATAAAACATTTGTCCAGAACCAATAAGAGATTAGATTTGAAATAGAGAAGAGGCATATGATCTAACAAAATACTTACTAACATCTTATGAGCGACTTGCTATTTACAGCAGTTCTCACACTCATATATTTTTGTCATTTGATGTTCACAACAACCATGTAAAGTAGATAGATATTATTTAAAAATGCAAAACCTGGAAGAATAAAGGACTTTATATTTCACTAGAGGCCTGGTGCATAGATTTGTGCACCAGTGTGGTCCCTCAGCCTGGCCGCACCCTCTCGCAATCTGGGACCCCTCAGGGGATATCAGAGAGCTGGTGTCGGCCCAATTGCCTAGGTCAGGATGAGGGACCCCACTGGTGCATGACCAGGGTTAGAGAGATACTATGGGAGGGCTCCAGGGGGTATCTGGCCTGTCTCATCCAGTCCAGATTGGCCATACCCCAGCAGCAAACTAACCAACCAGCCAGAGCATCTGCCCCTGGTAATCAGTGAGTGTCATAGTGACTGGTCAAATGGTTGAACAAATAGTCAGACACTTAGCATATTAGGCTTTTATTATATAGTACTAGAGGCCCAGTGCATGAAATTCATGCACAGGGGTGAGTGGGGAGTCCCCTCAGCCCAGCCTGCACCCTCTCCAATTCAGGACATCCCTCTCACAATCTGGCACCACTGGCTCCTAACTGCTCACCTGCCTGCCTACCTGACTGCCCCTAACTGCCCCCTTGCCAGCCTGACCACCCCTAATTGACCCACCTGCCAGCCAGATCACCTCCAACTGCCCCCCCCTGCTGGCCTGGTCACCCCCAACTGTTCCCTGCCATCCTGGATGCCCCACGCAGCCTGCTGTCCAGTCATTTGGTTGTCCCTCACTAATCCCCTTGCCAGCCTGGTCGCCCTACACAGCCTGCTGTTCGGTCATCCATCTGGTTATTTCAGTTGTGACAGCCCCTGGCTTTTTATATATTAGGATAGGATAATATGCTGCATGCAGACAGCTATGTTACAGTGTATAAGTAGACATAAAGTATTGCATATCAAACTTTAGCATAATTATTATCAGTCATATTATTAAGGCTTGCATGTGTGTAGTAAAAATTAACATAAGCATTTTTTTTAAATGGAGATACTTGTTTCTAATAAGAAACTATTCACAAGTCCAAAATATCGACTACTTTGTTCATGAGTTTAGCTACATACATAAAAGTGTAAGCCCAAAGTGTGACCATAGGATAACTGCGGACGTGTTCTTGGCACTGCTGCTGCTCTTGCATCTTTCAGGATGGATCGCATTAAGGCCAGGCAACAGAAATACAAAAAGGGTAAGGAGAGGATGCTGAGCTTGACCCAGGAGTCAGGGGAAGGCCAAGACATCCAAAAACTCTCTGAAGAGGATGACGAAAGTATGTCGAGACATTTCCTTCTTGCCCAAGTACCTTGACATTGAATAATAGCATGTATTGGGTAGGGCTGCAAAATAACGTTAATTTTCATCTTGCCAATATTATCAACGTATTTTTTTAACTTAGCAATTTTTACATTCCCGTTGTGAATGGGATACCTTTAATTGTCTTATGAAGTACACATTTAATGAATCCATGACTTTACAAGTCTTCTTTTCACCAAGACAACTTAAATCAGTATGTAACCTGCCTTCTGTTTCATAGATGTGTTTCTAAAGGAAGTGGGCATAAATTTGCTTAATTTATTCCTTTAGGGAAGATATGTCAGACATGCAATCTGCTATAATCTTTGATTTTTATGAATATTATATGAAAACTAAGCATATATGCATATTTAATGTGGTGTCTAAATAATGGTAGTTAAAATATCATTTAATGATATTTATATTTAAATGTATTCATGATACCTTATGATAAATACCCAGTAAAGTTGAAAAGGTTTTCTTATAAACGTTTTTATGCTTTTTTATTTAGAGGGAATTGAGAAATAATGCATGATAGTATCCATTAGTCACCAGTAAACATTTTTTTTCAACCATATATTCAAGTAATCACAAGAAAAATGTCTGGCTATAGGAACATATGGCTTTAACAAATTATTTGCCACTGAATTGTGTTATACATTTTGGGTGATGCTTTTTCTGTTGATTCGAAAGAAAATTTAGTGTGAAATGCATTTTTGACAGATAGTACCTTTTTAAATATTTTTTTCTGTTACTAAAAAGAAAAATGGAACTGTGGCATAATGTTAATAGAACACATCAATTGCTAATACATGTAAATTATTCAGATTGCATATAGTTCCTTTTCCTGACCTCTCGTGTACTTTTGCAACTTATCTAGATTTTGAAAATTGAGTTGTTAAAGTGTGGTTTTCAAAATTTGTTTTCTCACTTTATAGGAATTAATATTTGGACATATTTTATTTTAGGAGAAGCAGACAAACAGAAAGCCAAGGGCAAAAAAAAGCAGTGGTGGCGGCCTTGGGTTGATCATGCTTCCAGTAGGTTTTCTCGATCCTCTTACAATTTCGTCAATTCTAACCCTTATATCCTTGACCAGAATTCAGGTGTCCCCATGGCCTGTGTGTTTTATTGCATGGTTTGATCCTTGTGACTTGATAAGGGGTCGGAGTATAGGAAAATTGTGATAGGAATGGCTCTCTGAGCCTGAATACAAAAATCTTCAGAGAAATTAGTGATTACACGCTGGCCGAAGAAAGCCAAGCCCGATCACCATTTATGGGCTCAGAAAGGACAGAATCTTGACTGCTGTGTTATCCACTTCTGAGGTCTAGAGTCCTGCTGATGTGTATTTGTTTTGTGGCTTAAAACCCTTAATAAAAATAAGTTTCTGCCCTGACTGGTTTGGCTCAGTAGCTAGAGCGTCAGCCTGCAGACTAAAGGGCCCCAGGTTCAAGTCCAGTCAGGGGCAATGTACCTTGGTGTGGGCACATCCCCAGTAGCAGGTGGGCAGGAGGCAACTGATCAATGTTTCTCTCTCATTGATGTTTCTAATTCTATCCCTCTCCCTTCCTCTCAGTAAAAAATCAATAAAATTAAAAAAAAATTAAGTTTCTGTGCCTCCTGGGACCCTAATTTAAGGACAATATTATGTTCACAGTGTCTGCGACCCTCTTGTAAGACACTAGGCAGATGCCAATGAGCCTCCCATACCCTCATTCCCAGAGCTTAGACTTTATTTGCATGTGAGGAGTTTTTACACTCGGTTAAATAGAAAAATGAGAACAACTTAAAATGAATTTACTTTTTAGTTCTGCCTCCTCCCTAGTTTTAAAAAGGCTCACAGTGTGTGGCCTCAGATCACCTACAGCTCAGCCAAAACCAGTTAAGAGCAGTCAGAAAACAGTTTTGAAAAGCAGTACTTGATAGTCACATGGAATTAGTGCTTTTCCCTCCCGAGCATAAAAAAATAATGAGGAATTATGCTACTCTGTGGCTATATTTGTTCTGCTTGGCAAAAGAACTATCTATCATCTATTATTGGCCAATGGTATTTTAATAGAATGATCCTTTTGAATCCAGCCCTCCTTAAATGTATTGGAATATTAAGTAATTATTAATTATTTTGAAAATTATAATATCTTCAGTCCTTTATGTCTTGTTCTGTGTTTTAATAACTGTAACTAATATAATCAGACAAGGAATAGCACCAAGGCCCATAACATCACATGATGATTGGAGGGACTCTATGAGTGGGATATGTAGAATCACTAGAAAATCAAATTGATCAGAATCTTTTCCCATACTTAATTCGTAGTGTCATCTAAGACACTGGTATTAGCTTCTCTTATTCTAGAAATATTTTTTAAATGAGTAAACCAATTTAATAAAGCAGTATTCAAAATTTGCTCAGTATATGTGGATGTAATTAAATTTAATCCCAAATATTGAATTTTAGCATCATGGCAGTAAAAACAAACAAACAAACAAACAAAAAACACATCTGTTGTAAAGTCAAAAGGCAAAATTCAAGGTGAAATTCTCTGTGTCTCTAATTTACTGCCCATTGACATGTTAGTCATGCTGATAATCTAACAATGCATTGCACTTTATGTCCATTTCTATCAAGTCACAAGTAAACTATGCCTATCTTTCTGTTTGTAAAGGATTCTTTGCTAGTTTAAAGAGACCTATCCATTTCAAAATTGTGTCATACTAAATGTTTTGTTTTTTCAGATGGGGTAAATTCCCATTACAATCATTGTGGTTATGTTTCCTTTCTCTTCTAAATATTGCATTTTGGAAGGATTTGGATATGGTCTTTCATAATGATCTTACAAGCTGGGAATATTTTAAAGAACTTCCTATGAAGGGTATGGTCTTTAGACTTTTCTGATTCATTTCACCCTCATTATATCAAGTTCTTAAAGACTGGTATTAAAGTAAATGTGCCTCGTTACAATACCTTATGATGCAATAATGCATGAATGTGTGCTATTCATAGGTTGGAAAATGTATTTTCTTTACAAGCTTTTGAGGAAAGGAAAGGAATGAACATGTGATTTATTTTATAGATTAAGACATGCTCCAAAATGTATCTTCAGATCTGGAAGCACTTTATTAAAAGCTCTTTTATTTCTCTAAAAGTCACTGGGCTTCCAAGAAGATATTCTTAGTGGTGTCAAGCATAAAAATAAATGTAGTTGAAATACCCTTGTGTAAATCCATTGGCAGTGTAATAATAATGTTGCTGTGTTGTTCATATTATTGGTAAGCATTCAAGATCTTAGCATATATTTCAGGTGACAGATCTCCCAGTTTCTTACCTATGTGCACACATGCAATTGCATCATTGCTATTCAATGATACCTTCCATTTCAGTGTAGTGTGTCTTCTTGTCACTTTAAAACTAAGTCAATGCCAAGCCTCATTTTATATTTAAATATCTGAAATAAAGGGCCCATTTTTGGAGGCTGAGATTTTAAAATTTATTTTCATGCTTAGTTGTTCAGTAATAACAACGGCATTCATAATACATATATGGACACAGGCTGGAGGCAGGATCTCTATCTGAACTAATAAAGGCACATAGAAGAACTCAACTCATAATTAACAGATAGCACTGAAGAAAATATTCTCTGTTATTTTCCTGGTTTTATGTCAATAACATTTTGTAAAGAATAGAAAATATTTAACACTTTTCTTTTTGTAATATGTTTATTCTACCTCTCACGTACAAATTGGTAGTTTTTCAAATTACAAAATCAATGCTATGACTACTTGAGGTGAAAACAGCTTGGGCTCACAGTGTCCTCATGGCTAAAAGTTGTAGAAGGTATGATTGAATACAATTTAAGCTACTGTTGATTTTAGAGACTATAATGAGGGTAAAATGCTCAATCTGATACTCTGTTTTTTACCAAATGACCATTTGATGTACAGTCCATGTAACTTTTCTTGCAAATCTCTGAGCTTACATGAAGGCATTACTTTAATGGTCTTCTCACTGTCAAACGTAATGCTGTAACTTTGATTTGTTCCTGCTTACTCTTACCTTATGTTATATTGCATTTATTTCCTCAGGCCTGGACCCAGTATTCTGGGCCTGGTTATTTCTTCACAATAAAAATAACAAATCACAGTGCTTCTGTTCAAGGATATAAGGCCCAATTCATTCCCTCTGCGTCTTCATGGATGGAGGCCTCAGATATGTCTGAAATCATGGGCAAAATTATTTACCTTTTAACCATGTTAGTGATATTCAAGCAACTAATTTTAAACAAGCCAAGGTTTTCCATTACCTTGCAATGTTTAAGTCCAAAATGTAACTGGACACATTATGTTATGTTATCCAAAAGAAAACTCAGCATTTGAAAACACGAACATAACTTGAAAGTATTAATGTTTTCCTGCAATGATGGTACAGTTCTTGTAGCATCAGAAATATATATGCTGGGTCTCTTTTCTCTGATAAATTTAAAATAATGATCAAACTGATAAAAATGTGATCCTCAAATTTCTATAAATCTCTGGACATTTTAGCTCTCTCTAATCCTAACTCTTAGCACAGCAATACATTCTTTCAGGGAAAGTATTAAGCAAGGCAAGAATGATCTATACTGTTTGTGCTTGGTGTCTTATGCTCAGTACAGGTCTCCTCAGATTTCAGTAAGTGACTGGGGAGTTCCTGGTTGACCAGAAGTCTAACAGCACTAAACGGTATGGACCATGTCTGCCGTGCCCCAGTCTGTCCCATTCTTCGTGTAGAAAAAGCCACAGTGTTTGTGATAGCATTATTGTGGTTCTGTTCCTTTTTTTTTTTTTTTAATGTTGCCCATCCATTTCTTCCTCATAGCAATGTGTTATCTTTTTAAAAATCAACTCTTTCAAATGTCTTGCCATATTGGTGTCCCTTTCGTGACATGTGGGAAAGCCAGGTCTGCACAGTATAAAGTGAAGTAGAAGATTGGTGACACGGATTAGTGGTCCTGAATCTTTCTGATTGCTTTTCTACAACAGTTTGGATCCATACAGACAACACCAAGCCTTCCACTTTACTTCAGCCTTGTCTAAAGGACCAGAATTGCTGAATTGCGAAATAGTTTTCAGTTATTTTGGTCATCTTGGTAACAAAACTGGTTGCTACAGAGTTGATCTGATACATCTGTATAATATTTACAATGAGGAAGAAAGAAAATACCAGATCAGCCCAGTAGTGGCCAATTCTCTTACATGGCACAGACAAGGCCTTCATGCTCTGCAGACCCAGTCATGCCAACAACACATAGCATAGCCCAGAATGAATCCTCTTCATCTCTTGTTTTCTTTTCCCTCTCTATCAATGTCTCTCACTGTGGTCCTTTTATGGGCAATTTATGTGTATGTTTGGGGGGCATTTCATTAATAATCCCCTGACTATCTCGTATCTCTTTCAAGAAGTAAGTAAATATTTTGTTTTGCTTAGTGGTCAGGAGTGGAGACTATTATTTGTTTGAAACGGATAGTGAAGAGGAGGAAGAGGAAGAATTAAAAAAGGAAGATGAAGAACCTCCAAGAAAGTCAGCTTTCCAGGTAATTATGGGATTTGGGAAATCATGGTGTTTGCTAATTGAGTTATTGTTGTTTGTTTGACAGATGGTGCTTAAAAGCCTAGACTTCTGCCATATTCATAGGAAGTGTTAGAGCCCCAGAAGCTTCTGACCTACATCTGAAATTGTTTATTCCTCATTAAACTAATGCTGCTTGCTCTCAGCATTACCATAGTTTCTACTACACAAGAACACTGTTCCAGTCAGGTCTTCATTCACTGATATCCAACATGTTTCTGATGCTACCAACAAAAACATTCAACTTCCTTAGGTGAACTTTATTTTTTTGTCACAAGTGGGAGGTGAAGAAGACCTCTCTGTACTTGCTTTGGATTACTTGAGTGGACTTATATTTTGATATGTAGAATAGTTGATCATGTTTTGTTTTAAAATAAATGGTCACTTAAAAATTGCTTTCTTTTGAAAGTCAGTTTTATTTGTATTGCTAAAGATTTGAGAAGTTATTAAAGCAATGAAAGTATCTAGCACAGCTCTGATTTTTCCCATTTAACTGCCTTTTTCTCCCCAGAACTTACTGTACCATTCTCAGTTGTATAACTCATTAGCCTAAATATAACGTACTCAGCGAATGTATCATCAGTGCTACCTAAACATGATGATTTGTCGGAAGAGTTACATATGGAACAAAAGCTTGATATATATTTATATGTACATAGGTTGTATATAGATTTTAGGCAAGAGCCACATGTTAGAAGTTAATATTCATTGGTTATACTACAGGCACCTAGAATTACATGTTGTGTCCTTAAAAAGGCTAATGTTAGTTTGCTGGCCAGGTCTTCTCAAGCTGGCAGGTCACATCCACCCATTTTCCCAATGACACTGAAGAGCTAAGTTATTCACGGAGACACCTTGCTCTGATGCTTTTGCACTGGCCCCATTGCTAACCTCGTGTGTTTCCAGATGACTGTGTTTGTGTGCATGTATGCAGCTAGCTTGTCAAATACTAACAATTTGACTTGCTTATTTTTGATCTAATGACTCTTGTTCTAACTTATCATGCAGCAAAGGAGAGACCGGGGTCATCTTCACTATTTTCACAGATTATGCGCAACGTTTGACTGTCTTCTTTCCTTCTAACATAAGCACATTTTATTCTAGCTTCAATGACTGGCACATTTGAACATAGTTGATGTATTTGTAGAGACAAACTCATGCTGACATCATCTATTAAATTATTAGTTTTTGCTTTTTTTCTACTAATTACTCTTGCTTTGTCCTTCTTTGTAGAGAGCTATTGGGAAGTTTGCATCAGCCATTTTAGCCTTGCCAAAGTCTGTCATTAAACTTCCCAAAACTATTCTTCAGTATTTAATCAGAGCTGCAAAGGTATTTGATGTTTTACTGGTGTGTGGTGTGTGACCCTCTGCTCTGTAGATCTTTAGACAAGCAGACCCTTGTTGCTACATCTGCATTTTCCCTGTCCTATAAATCGAGCAATGAAGGAATTCTAAGAATTTAAAATGTTAGACAAAGCTTTCCACTAAGAGTTCTGAGAAGCCAAATTTCATATTATTTGATTCTTGTTTTTCCATTGACACCAGAGCCTATCGAAAAATAGGAAGAGAAAATGCAGATATACATCTATTTCTGTCCTTTTTGTAGTTTTGTCTAAGTCACATCTAACTTGAAAGGGGTCCTATCTGGTTGCATGCATCAGTTACGATGTGTGAGAAGTATAATTTTTCTCAGAAAGCTGGTTAAATTACGAGGAAGCGAATAAAAGATTCAGCTTGTTCCACCTCCTTCCTGGCTTCCTGTCAGTTCTCCACCTTCTTAAATTGGACATCAGTTTCCATTTCTCATTGGGAATTCAGCACACCTCCTCCCTACACGGAGCTGCCATGTGCAATCTGTGCAGCTGCTCCCTCCCAGGTACTGAGCTGAATAACTGTTCATGTCCAGTTACCGGTGCTGAATACGAGCAGTTTTTACTTCATCACTGAAAATCATAGGCAGGGAGTTACTCTTATTGTACTTGAAAGAAAGCTGTTTCTCATGACTTAATCTGAGGCAAGCACTAAAACCCTTAGCTCTTTATGCTCCTCAGTGTTGAACAAATGGTTTGGATAATGGCCAACACAGGTGTTTCTCACAGTTTACTTATTTAAATGCAGGTTATTTAATTCAGCAGGTCCTGAGGGGAGGATTGAAACTCTGTATTTCTCTCAAACTCCTGGGTGAAGCGCAAGCAGCTGGACCACCTTGAGTAGCCGTATCTACTCTAGGTCCCTGCCTATTAGTTTAATATTCACCGTTGTCACTTCCCCAGGATTCTTTCTTCTGTCTTCTATGAGTCTCTCCATCCATGTAAAACAATTTCTGTGAATGATTACAATGTAACTATCTTACTATTTTTAAAAAATATTATTATTTAAAAAATACCTTCTTACAGACAACATAAAGTCCTGGACCACACCTGAATTAAAGGGCAGTTTATGAAATTTAACCAGTTTCAGTTAAGGATCTTTTATGTCAGTGAAGTCCTCTCTTGTTTTAAAGATTAAATTATTTTTATATAATTAAGTGTTCTATAAAATGAATTCCATTTTCCTTAATAATATATGATTTTAAAAGTTTTTTTTTTTAAAGTAAGATAAAGTTGGGAATACAGTGGCAGTGCAGTCTGGAGAAGCCAGAGGTCAATAAATACATGTCCATGCACTTTCTTCTTATGGTGAGTGGTACTCGGGTCTGGTTCCCTAAGGAGCCCCATCACATGGATGGTAGCTACAGCCACCAAGTAAGAATTGAGAAGTTTCAGTAAGAAAGTTCCATTTCTTATCTCTGTAAGAAATGGGGTGTTTCCTCCTCCACCTTCATTATCAACTTTTTCCTGACACAGTTCAACCTAAGTGAAACTGACCCTCTGTCAGATGTGCCTGGGACTCTAATATGTTTGTATTTCTATCAGCATTAAGAGAATTTACCTACAAATAAGGAGCGTCAATGGTTCTTTCCCCCTCCCTTCTTCGCTCATATTTGCATTATCTAAATTCTTATTACTACAAGAAAGAACCGATAGACTTAATCATTTAGATGTCATATGTAGAACCAGGAGTTCCCTTTAAATAGCCAAATTTCAGTGGTCCTCACCATTTCCCTAAGACCTCTTCAATCTAATCAAAGCACCTCCTCTTCTTCTCACCCTCCAGCCCAAAGGTTTCGTTTTCTTCAGAGGAGAAAAATGTTTCCAACTGTGCACTTAATACATTCGCAAATCCTGAATTTTTTTTATTTTTTTATTTTTGAGATTCTTGCATTCTCTAGAAACAGGATTCTAATAACTTTTTAAAATAAAATATATTTTGCTCTTAAGCTTGAAATTTAATTTACATTTAGCAGAACAGGTTTTTAAAAAGAATCAGTGTTTTGTGGAAGCAAGTTTGTTCATTAAGGAGATATTCTTGCTATTCTCCCCAATTAACATGCTCAATAAACATCCACCATAAATTCTTTTATTTGATCCTTATTCTTCAAATTTCAGTTTATTCTTTTTAAAAAAAGATTTGGGGCATAAAATAATTTCTTTTTCTTTGCCTCCTGGGTTTTTTATTCAGAAATAAAAAATAATAATATATTTACATTAATTGCCCTTAAGATTCAGATTTCTACCAGTGAGAAGTAATGTTCTTAATAACCTATGACCTTTACATTTCCATATGTGGAAACATTGAATCCCTCATATATATATATATATATATATATATATATATATATATATATATATAATTTTATAGTACTACAGATATATCTTAAATTTTACTGGCAATGCAGCACCCATGGTTTCATTAAACAGTGCTTTTCAAATATCCCAGAAATCTGAACTGAAAGTGCCTGGGTCTACAAGCGACCCTGCAAAATATTCCTTTAACTCTCTGATGAGAACAGAAAACCCAGCTTCCCTGAGACCCAGGGGTGTCTGCGGGTGCATGAGGCGCATGCCTGCCTGGCTTCGTGGTTCTAGGTGGCTGACTCTGTATATCAAGGTTTCCTTTTTGTTCCTTCTCCTGCATGACTCTCGGCGGGCGGGCTGTTCATCATGGGTTATAATAATATACTATTGCAACTATTTTCAGCTCTTGAATGAAAAAGACTAAAGGCAACCAAAAGCTCAAGTTTTCCTTCCATATCATCTGCAATAACTTCTTAATCTTAATATCACAGTATTTTTCCTCTCCAAATACTAATCAATTTGCAAAGCCCTTTCTCAAGTTGCTGGTAATAGCTGTTATTCACAAGGGAAGGTATCAAATGTGCAAAACTGTTTCCCAACATAGGCCAGTAGAAGATGCTATTTTGCTTTTTTACTCAGAGTTTATTTATGATGGGAGAGCATTGTACTATTGATACTTAGTGAGACCTCTAGTTTATTCCATTGGGTAATGGGAAAGATCAATAGTTAAGAATCACAAATGTGATAATAATGGTGAGCTGGGAAAAATGCTGGTTTGTATGTACCCAAAGTTTCTCATGATTGTCTGTGATGCCAAATGAAATATATTCCTACAAATCTGTCTCCATCTATTATTTCATGATAATGAAAGTAGCACAGGTCAGCTCAGCATATGAAAGAATACGGGGGTGGGAGCAGAAAGGATATTGGAGATGGTATTTAGTTTGTGTTGGGATAAAAAAAAAAATGTTTCCAAAAGTCAGGAAGTTTGATGTTGGTCTCTTTTCTTTTAATTGAATTATTAAAAAGCTAGAAAATAATTGAACTTTCTCCCTTCAGTTTGTTTATCAAGCCTGGATTACTGACCCTAAAACAGCCCTCCGACAGAGGCGCAGAGAGAAAAAAATGTCTGCAAGAGAAGAACAGAAAAGAAAGAGGAAAGGATCCGGGGAGGGTGAGTGTCCTGGAGTGCAGCTTCAGCCACACTCTCCACTTCTGTGGTCTTGTCTACAACGGAGGAACTGCAAAGGACAGAATCTTTGGAGGAATCGAATTCTTAAATTCCAAAGACTGCAAAGATTTTCACTTGTTCTTAATTGCTTGTGTCTGACACTTGGAAGAAATGAAAACATGAAGTTAAGATGCATTTATAAAATGGGGGAGGGAGGCAAAATAAACCCAAAGGAAGTCTGTAGAAAGAAAAAGGAATCATTTTGAGAGATTAAGTTATAGAAAATAACTATAAAACAAGACCTCGCCAATAAGTTAAAAGCTGTTCTTGGGAAAAAGTAATAATAAAGGTGAACCAAAAATGGAACATAACTACCAGTGCCATATTCAACATTAAACTGCTGCATTTGAAGGCATATGAAAGAAACACGTTTCTAAGCGGGGAGAGAGGATTTCAAACCACAACAAAACATACCAGTAGCAAAGGTAAAATGCAGTGGAGGCACTCAGGAAAAACACTTTCATTATATAAATCAGGCTGAATATAAGCATTTTAATATAATAAGAATTCCAAAATAGCAGTAAAAGTTCAACCCAGTGGATCAACAAATATGAAAACAATTCACAAATCATAAAGGGGAAATGGCGCTTTAAAAGGAGCTCGGCTTCACTAGTAACATGAGAAACATAAACTCAGTGTTTTGATATTTTGGGTTGTTACCTACGGGATTGGCAAGAACCTAAACATCTGATAACACTGGGACTAGTGGGAAGTTAAATGCTTTTGTAAAGTTGTCCATCCACTTTGAAGACAGTCCTACTAGACATCAGTCCCACTTCTAGGTGTGTGGCGTAACCTGACGCAGGGTTTGCACATGTGCACAAGGACACCTGTCTAAGAGTATTCCTCAGTCATTATTGGTTAATAACAAACATTTAGAAACATCTTAAATGCCCACATAAAGGAGACCCAAGTAAATTATGTTATCATTTTATAATGGGATACTCTTCAGTAGTTTAAGAAATGAGTTGGGTTACTTTGAACTGATGTAGAGAGCAGTTCCTGACAAATATGTCAAATGAAAAGCGTTATGTTGCAAAATGGCATACAGATCATGCAACCAATTACAAAACAAAGGAAACCTCAACGTAGTATTTTGCATTTTAATCAGTGCATATAATAGTGTGTAAATGCAAGAGGAATATCAGGAAAAAATACTCAGAAAATTAATAACTGCTTGCTTCTGGGGGAGGGGTGGAGAGACTGAGGTTAAGTGGTGTGATTAAAGGAAACTTTAGGCTTATCTAAATTCTTAAATTTTTGTGGCTTTACAGAGAAAATACATACATAAATTCTTTGTGAAATTAAAAACATATTTTAAAATAAAGAAAAACAACCATAATTTTTAATGGAACTCTACATAGAAACACCTCTCTCCTTTTTTACTATTCTGCCTCCTGCTACCTCATGGTATAGCTTTAATTTTATTTTACTTTCTTAGTTTAATAAGACAAACTTAAGACAGAGCTGATGTAACAAGACATCAGTCAAGAGATAAATGCACAGTCTGCCCTGGATGCCCATCTACTGAGCTACCAAACCTTCACAACATACTGTGTTCCCTCCCCCTCCTTCCTCATGGGCCTGCAGGTGCGGTTTCCTTTGTTTTTCCAAAGTGAGTTCATGCCATACAAACTGCTCTTCCATGTTCATTCGTAATTGTGACCATCTCTCCAATTAAGTATTCACAAATCTATATCCTCCTTTTATAATAGCTGTAGCATATTCTGTGATATGGATATACATAATTTATTCCACTATTACATCACTAATGGACAAAGGTTTGCTTCCAGATTTCTGCAGCCATAAACAGTGCTATCATAGACATCCCTGAGCAAAGCTCCGTATACAGTCGGACGTGTCTGTATTTAAATGGATAGCAGGAGGTCAGGAAGAACATGCACTTTCCACAGAACACATTAGCCAAAGTGGGATTACTGGGTTAGATGATGTGTCCTTTTTTTTTTTTTTTTTTTTTTTTTTTTTTTTTTGCTTTAATAGGTATTTTCCGAAACCGGTTCAGTAATTTACTCCCGTGAGTGGAAGCGTGCACTTCCCCCTTGCTTTATCCCCACGATGTATTACTCTTTCTATTTTTTTGTCTTTCTCTGGGATGATGAAAGGCTTTCGTTTTTATTTGAATTTTCCTAGCTAATAAGACTGACTACACTTTATTTTCTTAATATCCATGATATTTTTTTCTGGATGATATGAATTCTTACAACTTTTCCCCAGAAACTCTTAAAATAGACAGGAAATCTGAAATTTAATGTTTAAGTTTTATTTTATCCCAGAAGAGTGGGTTGGCGTTTAATAGACCCTAACTGAACCTAACTCTTGTTAATTGAACATGCTCGACAGGGCCTGTGGAGTGGGAAGACCAAGAGGATGAGCCAGTCAAAAAGAAATCTGATGGACCAGGTAATACAATAGAGACACCTACGACCAGGGAGAAATGTGAAACTGTTACTTGCCCAATGAAATTGCCTACAAATAATTAATCAAATACTGTCTGTGGACTATGACTAAATAATCGGTGTCCTTTGGAATCTCATCTCTTGTGAAATTGCAAAGTGAGTCCTAAAAGTAGATCTGCTCCTTGAGCTGTTGGATTAATCACAGTCAGTTTGTAAATTCTTTTATCCAAGTACCCATGAAAGGTGGTGTTGGGGAGCAAATGACAAATGCCCCACAGAAACCATCAGACTAGAGGAACAAAAAATATTGGCAATTAGTTTTAAAGACTATACAAAGGAGTTAAGAGGTAAGGAGAATTGGGGAGAGGAGAGGTACTCTGGAAACTTGGGCCAACTCCTCATTTTTTGGGGGAAAACCAAGTCCTAATGAGGTTGCCCAGGATTTCAGAGTTACAGTCAAGGACAGAATCCCTGTCTTCTTACTCCCAGCCCCATTATGGTATCATTCGGGTTTTGCATAGTGTGGGACTGGAAGGGAGATTTCTCCATGCAGGAAAAACAAAACAAAATTCTCCAAATGAAACAAACTCAAATGCCTCTTTAGTTCAATAAAAATGCTGTTTCCTATGTGCATTATCAGCAGGCAAGTACTCTGGATAAATACATCCAAGGATGCCATCTGCCGGCTCAAAATGAGACTTCTCAAAGGCACTCTAATTACTTACCCTCTGTGGCACAATTCTTAAACCTGGCCTCCATTTCCAGATCATTTTATTCACACGCACGTGAACCCAGATCTTCTGTTATTGCTACAAAGCCTTATACAATAATAATAGTGAACCCCTTAGATTTCACATCTTTGCCAGGCACTTTTCTGAGAGATTTAGACAAATTGATTTGTTTAAGCCTGGCAAAGATCCTCTTCCCCATTTAACTCAGTTTCTTAACTGAGGCAGAGAAAGAGTAACTACTTTTCAAAGGCTACATAGCCACGAAGATTTGAACCCAAGGATTCTGAACCCAGAGTTTGTGCTCTTAATGTCTATGTCCTATTGCCTCTACCATTAAAAAAAAAAGTATTCAATAAAAATCCCAATTTCATTTAGTGATTACCCAAGTTTATAAAGTGCATGTTATACAGGTCTCCAACACAGTGATTTTAGTTTTAACATCAAGACCACCATTAGCAAAACTGTGAAATAATTATATTTATCTTTACCACCTCTCAGGAAATAACTGTGAATATGAGGGGAAAAAATAAGATGTCAAAAATATAAGATGTTGCTAACGTTTCTTAATAGTTGTAACTAACTTCAAGTCTTCCCGCCTCCACGGGTCAAATGGCTAGAGGTCCTATCCACACTACTGCGGGAATTGCATGTCTTGATTAAGATCAAAACAGAAACAGGAGTGTGGGGTGAAAAGAAAGGTGTCAGTGTCCCCAGGGTGTTCAGGCCTCTCTGGCTCAGAATCACTCTTCTGTGGAATCTGTACCAACTCCACTCCATTCAGCTTCATTCAGCGCCTGCTGCCTCCTGGCCTTCTTTCTTTAATTGAAACTATTCCCTACTTCCTAAAGTGTACCCCATGTAAAGATGTTAGGTGTGACACGATTTTGCCGAGGTTTGGGGGGAGAGTGGGAGGCAGTGGCAGCATGCATAGCAGGACACTATTTCCAAGGGGAAGTTAGTGATCACTGTTCCCATCCGGGCAGATCTCTCACAGGCTGGTGTCTCTGGGGCCTGGCTTCCCAGCCACCTGTGGCTCAGGCCCCTTCCCTCCAGGCCCTTCTCATTTAATCATCCCCCATATCCTTTTCCAGTTTCCTTCTTAGTGACCAGCTGGCTGCTCCAAGGTTCTTGTTATTCCAGCAGGTAGAACTGTTAAACTCTCCTTTGTCTCCCTTGCCCATCTCCGCTCTGTCAGGGGGCCATCCCACATAGAGCTAAGCTGCTTGTGGTGTTTTCCTTTTGAGAAGAGCAAATGTTTACCCAGGAGAAAACCTGCCTTCCTCCTAGGCCACTCAGTTCACAAATAATTTTTATTTTTTACCATTACCAAGTTAAACTCTGATTCACATTGTGGTCTAGGAATTAAAATACAGGGAGAAGATTTGAGTCACACAGTGGTCATATCTGATCATACTAGATTCCAGGTCAGGAAACTATACCTGCCACCTGTGTTTATAAGGCTTGTTAGCTAAGGATGATCTTTATATTTTTAATGGTTGAAAAAATATTAAAAAGAACTGTATTTCATGATATATGAACATTATAAAACTAAGATTTCAGTATCTGCAATACAGTTTCATTGGAAACCCAGTCATTCATTCCCATTCATAGACAATTCACTCATTGTCGATAGCTGCTTACACAGGACAGCAGCAGAGTGATTCATTGAAATACAGACAGTATGGCCTGGAAAGCAAAAAATATTTACTCTCAGGCCCTGTTCAGGAAAAAGTTGGTTGGCCCCTGCACAAGATCGTAACAGCTAGGCTACAATCATTAATTGTAAGTTCGTTAAGGTTTTACTATGACACTTAAATCTGGTTTTAGTTATTTATTTTGTGGGCAAAGAGTGAGATACAAGTTGGATTTTTACTGGTGGTGTTTGTTTTCAATAAACAGTAAGACAATTCTTAACTCATTCTTACGTTCACTAAGTGTCTGCTTTATTTGAAATCGTTAAAAACAAACAAACAACAACTAAAATTTTAAATGCCAAGTTAAAAGAAAGGCACACATTGATCAAAATTTGGTAGCATGTCTTCAAGGATTTTATGTATGCTAGTTGACAACTTATTGGCTTACAGGAACAAACTAACAAGATGGTTTATACGGGATTGTTCCTTTTTTATTTTGATTCAGGCCTAAAATAAAATTAGGTCACAGCTATGGAGTCTCTTCAAACCTGATCATGACCAAGAAGTTCATGTTGGCTTCTCTGAGGGCTGGCGAGGGACGTGCTGCATGGAGACATGCTTGGGGCACAAGTGCACCTGGAGCAGAGCTTATCCCACTGGGCAGCTCTCCCAGGCGCCCCCGGGCACAGCACAGATAAGGAAGAGAACCCAATTCCATCAGGAATTTCACAGCTTCTGCTGGTTTCCGGAGGGTGGATCCCATGTGCGTTGTTTTGTGGTTAGCACAGCTCAGTAGAATTAAGAATAACGGTATTTCAGTGGTGTACACATATACTCTTAGTACGCATACTGAGTTCTACAGAATTGTTTTAAATAATTTAACTGAATGCAACTGCAATAGAAAGCATCAAATTCTTACTGAATCAACAGAATTGTTTCCAACAACTATTAAGAAAAGAAGAAACTGCCAAAACTGGTTTGGCTCAGCGGACAGAGCCTCAGCCTGCGGACTAAAGGGTCCCGAGTTCGATTCCAATCAAGGGCATGTACCTTGGTTGCGGGCACATCCCAGTAGGGGGTGGGCAAGAGGCAGCTGGTTGATGATTCTCTCTCATCGATGTTTCTAACTCTCTATCCCTCTCTCTTCCTCTCTGTAAAAAAAAATCAATATATATATTTTTTTTAAAAAAAAAAAAAGAAAAGAAGAAACTTATAGAAAAAGAATTACAAGACCCAGTTACCTGGCAAAACACAGTGTTTTCCCAGGTAAATGGGTCTTGTAATTCCCTGTGTCAGTAACATAACTATCTTGGAAGGCAATCTCTACTTTTAACCAAAAGTGTAGGAATCTGTCCTGGCAGCTGTCTTGACCAAAGGTTAACGATTCCAGCCTCGCTTGGTTTGCATGATGGTGGCTTCCTAAGCTGCAGTGGTCCCCACACCCCGTCATGCCCAGTCCGTGCCCAGTCCAGGCCCATTCTGCATGAGGCAGGGAGGCTCCGGCAGGTCTGCATTTGGTAAAACACCGCTGTGTTCCCACGGCAAAATGGCTGACCGCATTTATTCCTTTGAAATTGTGTTTCTTTTTCTTCCTCCTAGATAACATCATCAAAAGGATATTTAATATTCTGAAATTTACCTGGGTGCTCTTTCTGGCCACCGTGGACAGTTTTACCACTTGGCTCAACTCCATTTCCAGGGAGCATATTGACATATCCACAGTGTTGAGAATTGAAAGATGCATGCTGACCAGAGAAATTAAAAAGGTAACACTCTTGGAATAATTCTCTTTGCTTCTTTCCACATTATACAGTTTGTGAAAGTCAATATCCAGAACTCTAAGTAGCAAAAGACAAAATCCTTTCTTTCCAGACAGTCTCTACAGAACCCCTTTATTTTCCTGTCTATTTAGAGCTGTGCCATGCTCAGAATTAAAATCACACACACACACACACACACACACACACACACACACACACACACACACCAGTCCTGGGATAGTGGCCAATTAATTCATCCTATCTCCTCGTCTCATCTAGTTTGCAGGTGCACAGACTCTACTGTGTCTCCTAAAGGATTATGTTGTTTAGTCTGAGAATTTTGATCTGAAACTTCTCAGAGGAAAAATTAGGATATATGCAGAATGACAAAAATATAGTCATATAAGATTTATATACTTCATATTTTAAAATAATAGCTTATTTCTGGATACGTTACTATTCCATACGTATTTATACATAGCTACAGACTTACATATAAGAAGGGATTCCTTTTTAAAACAATTAAAAAAAATAACTGACATACAATATCATATTAGTTTCATGTGTACAGCATAATGATTCAATATTTGCATATATTATGAAATGATCACCACAATGAGTCTATGTAACTTTTATTACACATAGTTACAATTTTTTCCCTGTAAATTTTTAACATCTACTTTTTTTAAGCAAATTTCAAATAAAGTAGTTCCCCCTTATCCATGGTTTCACTTTCTGTGGGTTATCCTTGGTCAACCACAGTCCAAACGTTATCAAATGAGAATTCCAGAAATTAACCCTCATAAGTTTTAAATTGCACACTGTGCTGAGTATTGTGATGAAATCTCATCCCATCCTTCTCCATCCTGCCCAGGATGCGAACCGTCCCTTTGTCCAGCATCTCCCCGCTGAGTGCACTCCCACCAGTTAGTCATTCAGTAGCCAGCTGGCTTATGAGATCCACTGTGGTGCTATCACAGTGCTTACATCCAAGTTACCCTTATTTTACTTAAAAAAATGGCCCAACGTGCGAGAATAGTGGTGCTGGACATGAAGGTATGCCAAAGACAAGCCATAAAGCTTACTGTCAGTGAAAAGGTGAAAGTTACTGATTTAATATGGAAAGTGAAAAACAATATATTAAAGTTGCTAAGACCCATGGTGAGAAAGAATCTTCTATTGGTGAAATTGTGAAGAGAAAAACTCTGTCCTAGTTTGCTGAAAGACAGTGATAGAGGTCATCTTCCCCTCTTATTACATTATCACTGTTTTAGTTTATTGTTAGTTATTGTTAGTTATTCGTTTCTTTGGTGTGCCTACTTTATAAATTAAACTTTATCACAGGTGTGTGTGTACAGGAAAAAAAACATAGTACAGGTAGGGCTCAGTACTACCCAAGGTTTCAGTTGCGCTCTGAGGGTCTTAAAATGCATCCCTTGTGCATGAGGAGGGACTCCCGCACACAATACAATATTGTTAACTACAGAGACCCCGCTGTGCATTACACCCCCATGACTTACTAATTTTTCAACTGGAAGTTTATACCTGTTGACCATCTTCATCCATAAACAAGAGGGGTTTCTTGTGTAGCATTGTCCAATAACATTGGGTACCATTCATGAGTTGACATCAGTCCCCAGCTTCACCAGCTTTGTGTTCATCACTCCAGGTGTGCTTGATAGCTGAGAATTGTCAGTGTTGATAAATGCCCGGTGGCTGCAGAGGCAAGTAAGAACTGTGGCAATGTCTCCTTCGCTGCAGGGCAACGTTCCTACTCGGGAAAGCATCCACATGTACTATCAGAACCACATCATGAACCTCTCCAGAGAGTCTGGACTGGACACCATTGACGAACGCCCTGGTGCCGCGTCAGGTGCACAGACAGCCCGCAGAATGGATAGCACAGATTCACATGACAGTATCTCCAGGTATTTCATGTTCTAAACAGTGGGTTTGGTTTTGGCAAAGGTATAAGAGGTGGGCTTAATCAGTGTGAGAAATGAATGTATGAGATGAAAGTTCATCAGAACTTAACATGGATCCCCACCCTCCTCAGGTTATCTCCATTATCCTCCCCTAGATTGAGCCAGGTAAAATCAGGTACCAACAAAAAACTAGGAGAGATACCTGTATGATTTCTAGGCACAGGATAGTGGTTTCCAAGCTGGAGGCAAGTAAGAATGAACCTTCCCAATGACAAAATGACTTATCTGTGTCAAGGGCTGCATCTTTAACTTTATTTTAATTTTTTAATGTTTTTTATTGATTTTTTTTTTTTACAGAGAGGAAGGGAAAGAGAAAGAGAGTTAGAAATATCCATCAGCTGCCTCCTGCACACCTCCCACTGGGAATATGCCTACAACCAAGGTACATGCCCTTGACCGGAATCGAACCTGGGACCTTTCAGTCTGTAGGCCAACACTCTATTCACTGAGCCAATAGGGCTTTATGTCTATTTTAAAATGCCACTCCACAAAGTATCTTCTATACTAGAATCTTCTACCATCTGTTGTTATCTTTGATATTTTTCTTTCAGAATTACCTCTCCGTGACTCATAATAAAAGTCCAAGAAGTGATTCTGTCAGCTCCCATCTTCCCTGAGTTCTGTGATCACATGCATTGTCACATAACATGCATTGGCCATGGGCCAGCACCAAGTCTGTGTATAGGTTACCTCATAATGTTATGAGATGCATAATATTATCATCCCCATATTACAGAAGACAAGAGAGGTTAAGTAACTTACCAAAGTCACACAGCTCAAAAGTATGTATAAGCAGACTCAGGACCCAAAACCATCTAGTTCAGCTCAGAGCCCATCCTCACAACCACCATACAGTATGCTGCCTCTCACTGCCTCCTCCACACTCCAGGCTGACTTTGAAAACTGACCTGTCTTTCTTACTGCCTATCCCAGAAAAGCCTATGAATGATTTGCACCACAGTGTTCTAGATAGCTGCTGTCAATTGTACAGATCCAGCTCTCGCGCTAAAGCGCAAATCCTGTCCTAGGAGGAAAATGACATGCCTGAGGTAATTAGCTAGAGCCAGTGGTCAGCAAACTGCAACTTGCGAGCCACATGCGGCTCTTTGGCCCCTTGAGTGTGGCTCTTCCACAAAATAACAGGGCCTGGGATAATCTATTTTGAAGAAGGGGCATTAGAAGAAGTTTAAGTTTAAAAAATTTGGCTCTCCAAAGAAATTTCAACCGTTGTACTGTTGATATTTGGCTCTGTTGACTCATGAGTTTGCTGACCACTGAGCTAGACTGAATGAATTACACCTTGTGTCCATCTTCAAATGTATCACTGAGAACATTCGCATCTTCACTGTTTTTATTAAATAGGTTAAAAAGCACCTATACCATGCCAGGCCCTTTGTTTGATTCTGAGATAGACACATAAAGATTGAGTTGTCTCTAACTGATTGGAGCCTGGAAAGAAAGATTCACCTACAGAATCATTTGTGGAATTCTGGGTTAAAATTCTTGCTGTATAAGGACATCAGAGATGGGCTGTATTCCCACAGCTGGTTTAGAAGCCTCTGGGTCACTCCCAGTCACATGTCAGATGCGATGCTGAGCAAGGCACCAAGCTCTACTGGACTCTTTGTCCTTCACAAATTCTACATTTGTTACAAAACGAAAGAGGGGAAGGAACGAAGGCTGTTTTATCAATACCGAACCTGAAATAGGTAACTAGAAGTTGAAATTGCAACCTCAGTGGGGATAAGTCAGTAAAAATATATTTATTTTGAAATGCTATTTTTAGCTGTGGCTGAATTGCTGTACTTTAACTTCTCCACTTGTGCCTTTCTTTATTCTAATCATTTGATGTGGATCCAAAGCAATTTGGCATGGAAAGATATAAAAAAAATTAAAAAAAAATAAAACACCAACAAAACCCTCAAGGTTTTAAATAGTACATGTGTTGCTCTGGCCAGAAGGCTCGGTGGTACACCAAAAGGTTGCGGATTTAATCCCTGGTCAGGGCACGCCCAGGAGGCAACCGATAGTTGTTTCTCTCAGATCAATGTTTCTCTGTGTATGTGTGTCTTTCTCTCATTCTCTTTCTCCATCTTTCTCTCTCTAAAATCAATAAAAATGTATCCTTGGGTACAGAGAAAAAATAGTATACATGTTCAAATCTCATTTTTATTTAAAAAACATATTACTCATACATATATTGGTTTAAATTTGATTTTTTGTACCAAAAAAATCCTTATGGATATAACCTCTCCAGTCCTCCGAAAATAGGTATTGATTCTTTTACAATCCTTTGAGGAATATCTATTATAAGTTCTAAAATAATAGATATATTTCAGCCATTATAAATTTTTGTGAACAGATAAAAACACTTAGGGACAGAAACTCTTAAGCATTTCAAGGTCAAAGCATTTATTTGCTAATTGAGATGCTGTTTAAAATGCTTTTAGTTCCTAGAATAAAATAATTCATTGTTATAACATTGTGCATGGTAATAAAACTTAATTTTTCGTTTTATTTCTACCCACTCATACACACCTTTCTCAGTAATTAATTTTTGAAACCATGGGTGACGTCAGTTGCAAAGTGAAAATAGTGTTCTTGCATGGCGAGTGCTGACAGCGCCTCCTGTGTGTCTTCCTGAGAGCGTGCCACAATCAGCATTGGTGAAAGGAAGCTTTCATTCTCCTTTGACAGACACCACTGAGACAAAAAGTCATTGTGGTTTATATTTCTTTTTGCAGCCCATAAAGACTGTCCTATTTGGAAGCTACCAACCTTGTTAAATGTGTTCTTGTAACAATTTTATTTTTGCACAGAAATACAAATTTTTTTTTCAGAAAGTTTCAAGGGTTTTAGAAGCCTCCTGAATATTACACATGAACATGACTGGAGAATAATTGCTCCAGAACCAAATTCTGAATCATACTAATCAAAAAGAGCAAAGAGAACATTGGAAAGTGAACTGAAAATAAATTATCCATAAAATAAACATACATAATTTCTACATTAGTAACTTCTAATTGCACAATATATGCAATTAAAAATTAACTAATTTTAGAAGAAAAAAGAATGATTTCAAATACCATCAAACAACTCCCCTTACATCTAACCCATATTTGTCAAAATTACAAATATGAAACTATGTCCATAATCAAAAATTTTGAGGTAGAAGATACTTAAAGCCTTGAGTCGCTTTTTAACAAAGACAAAATATCCCCCAAATTTTAAAATGGCCAACCCATCAACAAATTTACTATTAAAAACCAGTACCTCTAAAACTAATTTTTACTTTTTCTTCCCCAACCTAAAGAAAGGGGAGATACAATAGTATCTATGATGCCATTATGTCTGTTGTGAGGAAACGGAATTCACCTATTTGCCCTCTTGTGAATGGCTGAGCTGCATTCCTAGTTTCTTTGCTTTAAGAAACCTTCAAATCTTTAGGCATTTGTCTATGCCAGAGTCTATAGTAGGCCATGCTGATTGTTGGAAGGGCAGTACTCTTCCCTGGAAGGCTTTCTGAGGGTAGAAGCTTGCTCTCAATACCTGTGTGATGGGCAGGGTCTAGGAACTCACATGCTCAGTGTGGCCCTGGCCCCTTTGCAGAAGCCCCCGCCTGGGTGGACGCTCCCACCTGCCACAGCTTTCACTCCAGCATCCATGTCACCCATCTGTCGTTCTGGGCTTACAGTAAAGGAGGTTGGGATGGGAACCTACTGAACAATTTTGTATTCCCTTTGACTTTATTAAAATAGTTATGATTTCCATCAAATCCAGATGTAAAATAGCAATTATTTTAACCATAGCTGTTGTATAAAATCAGATATCATCTGCCTTCCCAGAAAATGCATTGGCTTAAATTCTTGTGTGAAACATTAGTGACATCCCAAGGATCATTCCTGGATGTGAAGGGACTGATGATCATTTGAGGAATGTCCCCTAGAGGTTGCTGTGTGACCCTGCAAGGTGACAACCATCCATGTAGGCTTGTTTTCTGGGCCTGTTTTTATAAAGCTCCTCCCTTTCCCTTTTTCATTTAAAAAAGTCCTGGATTGGGCCACAAATCAGTCTCACTCCGAATAACCCGATTGCATGGGGTCTGAAGGTGGGCGGGTGCAACAGAACTCAGTGCAGGAATTAGCAAGGTAAGAAGGGATTAGAGCAGCGGTTCCCATGCAGAAAGTCTGAGCAGTGCTGCAGGAGAGGGAGCAGCACCATGTTCCTCTGCCTGCAGACTCCAAAAAGGCCATGGGGCTGCACCTCTACAAATATGAAGGGAAATACAGAGATGCAAAGATCAGGTCCCTCTTCTCAAAAATGATGAAATGGGGACCCCAGAGAGGGGAACTGACTCGTCTAACACTGAACAGCCAGTTAATGTCCCTGTGGAGACTCAAGTCCAATCCTCCCTGTGTTTGTCCTCATGTTTCTAATTTTCCATAAATTAAGATTCCTTGCTGTCATCTCCTCTTTTTGTGAAGGACATGGTGACATCTAAAGGAATGATGGCTTTTTTTTAAGTAAAAAAAAAGCCTGTCTCTGTGTTTTTATTAGAGACCATTGGATTGCTAACAGGCTCGCCTCTCTCACTGTCCTCGTCCTCTCCTGGCCATGTAGCTGTGACATGCATAGCAGGATGCTCCACTGGAGCCCTCATGGGGTTATGCTAGAGCACCTGGAACCTGACAAGCCCTTTAACTGGTTCCATGAGTGAGTGACTCAGATTCCTCCGCAGCCCCCAGAGGTTGTTACATCCTGAACGGTGTCCATTTCTGCCTCACAGCCACTGCCTGAGGGCATCGGCTGTGCAGGTTGGGTATATAGTAGGCAGTCACCTGGTAAAGATAGATGTTCAGCTTAACAGTGTCAGCTGGGGAATCAGCCATCCTGTACCACAAAGGCCTGCCCTCCAGGCTCAGCCAAGTGGGTTAGCATTCAAATTGGAAGACCCATATTCCAGTAACCACCCCGTAGGCTCTTTGGGATTAAGCTATATGTCTGAACTGAAATCGTGTCTATGTCATAACTCTATTTGCTTCTTCTTCAGTAGCAACACTCAGTAGCATCTCAGTCCTGAGTCTGCCATCATTCCCTCCCCAGTTGTTGCTTCACTGGGGAACAGGAGGTGAGGATTGAGGCCAGTGGGTTCTCACCCTAATGATATCCATCAAGACCTCACAGTCATGCAGAAGGAAACATTCATGAGGCAAAATGAAAAGTTAACAGACAAAATGACCCTGCCGTTGCTAGACTTCCTCTGTTGTTTTCTTTGTACCGTTTTATTTCTTCTTCTTTTTTTTAATGTTGGTTTATATCCAGTTGCATATCAAACCAGCATCTCTTCTCCATGCAAGGCATCTAGTTCGGCTTCACTGAATATCACTCAGAAAATGGGGTGGAATATTCAGCTTGTTGCATCATCCCTGAGCTTCCCTCTCTCATTTGGAAACTGTTTTAAAAAAAAAATGAAATATTTTATGTAAATTTTACGTGAGCAGATATTTCTGCTTAAGCGATTTGGTTACAAAATACTGTCAAGGAACTCAAGTAGCTCCAAATAAAGCATATGTCTCAATTTAAAAAACAAAACAAAACAAAAAAACACAACAAACAAAAAACACCTCAGTTGCAAAGTTATAATGCTATGATTTCTCTGTGAGGGGAGTGTCGGGACTTATAATTATTCTGTTTCCATGTCCCAGCCAGAGAGTGACATTTCATACTCACCGATATATTTTAACCAACGTATTTTGTTAAATCCAGTACTATTGTGTTTTATTGTCCTGCCAAACAGGTCCTTCCCTGCCCTTGAGCCCTGCTGTGGTGGTCGTCATTGCCATGGTGTTGGTGTCGTGTGTGGTCTGCTGCATGGCAGTGTGTTGGTCAATTGATCCAATGTGTGAACTGATTTTCCACTGGGGTTTTAACACTGTGTCTCTGTAACTGTTTGCGCTGCTAGCTGCTACACTGAAGCAACCATGCTGTTCTCAAGGCAGTCTACCCTTGATGATTTAGATGGACCAGAAACTGTTCCTAAAACAAGTGAGCGTGCTCGACCTAGGCTCCGTAAAATGCTCAGCTTGGATATGTCCTCCTCATCAGCTGACAGTGGCAGTTTAGTATCAAGGTGCTTAACTTGTGCATGCTTTGTTCTCTGATTTTATACCCCCCTCCCATCTCATTGCAAATATAAGTTTGTGTGGTGGATGTTTTCTTTTTCTTTTTAAGAATTTGCATGAATAGCCAAAGCATAACCACCACCTTCCTGGGACATACCTGGTTATTCCCAGGACAGCATTCTAGGAAACTGACTGCTCTTTAGTTTTTGTCTGTTAGGAGTTTCTTAAAAACGCTTATTATAAACATTGTCCTCCACTTTGTAAGTATTGTACATTTTTCACTTTCGAAGGAATAAGCATGCTTCCCCATTGGTTGAGAGCTCATGTAGGCAGACCTCACAGGGGGAAATGAGATTTTTCTCATGATTTCATCAAAAGATACATGCAGTAGGGAAAATTATGAAAATTTGCCACATATAATCCTTTCTATACAGAATAAATCTGCCCACATTTTATATGCATAACTGACATAAAAAGTCAGAATAGATTTACCATTGATTTTTTAAGAAAGAATAGCATGATGCAATAGATATAATAGTTCACATTTGCAGACTGTGACTTGTTTTGTTTATAAAAGATGAGTTTGGGCTTAAGTTCCTCATTAAACCCTATCATCAAATAAAAATCTTTTAGAAATTAAGTGAAATCCAAAAACTTATTTGAATTGCCTTTGAATGGTCAGCAGGACACAGGAGCATCAGCTGTGTTGCGCTTATCCTGACACCAAAACAACCCAAACCAAAACGAATTTCACTTTTGGCAAATCAGAGGGCCGTTAGCCTCTTTTTGCTGGCAGCTGTGTATCTTAATAGAGTGCTGCAGCATGCCAGGCCTGGCACTGGTGGAATGCTTTGTCATGAGAGGTCCCCTGGCAGACACATGCCATGCTGTTCCACTTTGCTGCTTCCTGGAGGTACCAGGATCTGTTGAATTCCTTTGGGGACAGACCAAATAAAAAACCATAGAGAGCATTCCTGTCATTGGATCTAGTGTAAGTGGAAGTTAGAACAGGTATGGAGCTGACTCCAGTGGTCTGAAAATTCCCTGAGGTGATCAGTCAATTTCATGGCCTTCCTAGGAGGCTAATGGAGGTAAGTCTTAGCAAAACTCCAGTTTGGCATGACATTCCAAGAGCCTTCTACGTGATGTGCATGCAGCTTAGGGCCAAAGCCCTGGGAATACTGAACACCTGAGAGGGTCCCAAGAACTCGCGTGAATCTGGTTCTTCAGCCTCAGGACTCAGCCAAGTTTCTCCATTCATTCACTTATTCATTAACATGTCTACACTGGTGTTGATGACAAGAAAAATGGGCATAATCTACACATTTGAGAATTTCAGTGTTTATTGGACCCTAGTTGCCCACATATGCCATTCAGATAGATAATAGTGCATGCTTCAGAATCTAACAAGTTATAGTTTTATATCCACAGATTCCATGGATGTGTCTGAGGTAAATAATATTAAAACGCATGCCATGAATTTCACTGGTGGGCCAGCTCTGTTTTCATTTCCAACTTTTTCTGCATGGGCCTGCCAGGGAAAGTTAGAGGATAGAACACAAAAAGGAGGAGAGGATGGTGCAAAAGAAATAGACAGGATGCCAAAAAGAGAGAGTGAGACAAGGGCGGAGAGCTGATTGGAAGTGAACACTAGAAGGGGGGCTGGCAGAGAACATCAGCGGGAATTGTTGGGAGGAGAGAGAGCGGGACTGACCCTCGAGAGTGGAGCAGACAGCCCCAGGGAGAGATCACCCTGAGAGGAGATGGGTGTTGCCATGTGCAGGCAAAGAAGTGATCGGGAGGTGGTTAGGACCTGGAAATGGTGAAAATTCAGTCAAATGTGATAATCACTAACAAGAAAAAGGCAAAGAGTGAGAAATAGGAAGAAGGAACAATTATGAAAGTGGGCCATTTTTTAGAAATAAAGCATGCAGTTGTTTAGCCACTATTTTATTCCTATCATCCTTCTGGATGTGGATGGGCCAGTGGCAAGGACTGACAGTAGAGTTTACCTTGGTCAGCACCAACAGACCCAAACCCGCCACGCTTCTCACCTGCATATGTAGCCTGCTTACAGGGTAGAGAAGGGGAGGTATGCTGTGCTGGGTCTCAATTTGGAGGTAAATACTGGAACGCACGGCTGTGAATCCTGAGATCATTTTTAAAACCTCCATGCCCAGGTGGGGTTAGCATCGTGGAAGCCACGTGACTTGCTCTGGTTTTCCACTGGGTGTGTGCACTGCCAGCTCCTGCATTTCAGAGGGTGCGGTTTGCAGTCTGCAGACCAGGTGTGACTGTCCCAAAGGAACAAAGCAGATGGGACGTAGGGAAGGGAAACGTGGCATCTAACTGCCCATCTGCCTGGATGGTCTTATTTGGGAGCCCTGAGGAGGTATCTGGAGAGTTGGAGAGGATGCTGAAGAGCTGGGTGCTAAGCCCAGGGTCTGTGCCCGTCCCTCTCTCCTGACAGCGAGCCCACACAGTGCACCATGCTGTATTCGCGCCAGGGGACCACCGAGACCATCGAGGAGGTGGAGGCTGAGCAGGACGAGATGGAGGCCAGCCAGGACGTGGAGGCCCAGCAGGAGGAGGACGTGGGGGTCCAGGACAGTGACGATGATGATGGCAGTGAGGCGGAGGTGGACTTGGGGCCAGATGGGCATGAGGGGTCTGATGAGGAGGATGAAGAAGAGGAGGAGGAGGAGGAGGAAGAGGAGGTGGAAGAAGAGGCAGAGGAGGCCCAGGACTCCGAGGAGTCCGAGGAGGCCGGCCTCACCCCGGACACTGAGCTACCACGGACCTTCACGGAGGACGGAGACATGGAGGTCCCGCCGTCCTACAGCAAGGCGGTCAGCTTCGAGTGCCTGTCCTTCGGCTCACAGGAGGACTCCGCCGGGCCCAGCCGCATGGCCGTCAGCCCCGACGACAGCCGCTCGGAGGACAGGCTGGGGTCCAGCATCCTCCCGTCCCTGACGCACGAGCTGACGGCCAGCGAGCTGCTGCTGAACAAGTAAGAGCCCGCAGGCCATGGGGAGGCATCTGGGAGCCAGGAGCTGGGAGCCAGGTGCTGGGGCTGCACATAGAGGCAATTCTATGTACAAACACCCACCTGCATGTTTACAGCAGACAGATACAGTTCTCATTCCTCCTCAGGCTGCACATACAACACAGGCTCGGCACGTCTATCCCTTACGGTAGAACTAGCAAGAGCTGACAGTAGACGCTGCTCAGGTGTCCTGTAATATAACATTGGGAGGGGTTCCCAAAGGAAATCCGGAGGCAGAGGAAAGGGAAAGGACAGGAAGGCTCTTGCAACATGACAGTCAGACATTTGGAGAAATGAAGGCAAAAGGATTGTCATGCTTATGCTCACAGGATGTTTCACGATGACGAGCTGGAGGAGTCGGAGAAGTTCTACGTGGACCAGCCGCGGTTCTTGCTGCTGTTCTACGCCATGTACAACACGCTGGTGGCCCGCTCAGAGATGGTGTGCTACTTTGTGATCATCCTGAACCACATGGTCTCTGCCTCCGTGATCACCCTCGTGCTCCCCATTCTGATCTTCCTCTGGGCCATGCTGTCTGTGCCAAGGCCCAGCAGACGGTTCTGGATGATGGCCATTGTCTACACAGAGGTAGGCCTGGGGCACCACCTCCTGCAAGCTGCATGGGGCATTTGCGATAGGTGGGCCTGCCCCGACTCCCAGATAGTTGAACACAGAACAATCAGTAAATGTATATTCTTAGGCTGATAAATGAACATACCTAACAGTTACCTCGTGCGGGTAATTATCTATATCTTTTTACATTTTTCACATCACACAAAAATAGGTGCTAATATCATTCCTATTTAATAGATAAGAGACCAACCTTAATAAGGTTAAACAATTGGCCCAAAGTTACCCAGCTAGTGAGTAGCGGGGCAGACTCCTGGAGCCTGGTTGTCTGTCCTGTGATATTAACCACGGAGGTAACAACAGTGCTATGCAGACCCAAGCATATTGCCTGAGGCTAAGACTGTTCCATGAATGGATACTGAATTAAGTAATATAGTTCGCCCTTTTAATACAGTTTAATGCAGCAAGAACATATTCCATTTCTAAACTTAGGCCAGTTTCCCTAAATCAAAACACCAAGTTATATAATAACCCACTTAGAAATCTGAATAACAGAAAGGGAGAATTGCCAGCTCATTTCCATCACAGGTGAGGGGACAAGAGACTACAGAGTTAGACAGATGCTGTGCCTCTCGTGGCCTGATGGGGCAGAGAGAAGTTAGGTATCATTGCAACTTCTCAGAGAAAGAGAACTTAGAACTGAATCTTAAGGGATGAGTATAAAGTCACCAAAAGAAGAAAAGCAAAGGGAGCACCAGTCATCAGAAATAACCCATGCAGACAAATGAAGGTGTAAGACAACCTGGCACATGCCAAGAATGACAGGTGGCTTACGATGGCTGGAAGGCAGGCTGTGCGTAGAGAGTGCAGCAGAAGGAGCGTGGGAATGCAAAAGGGTTTATGCTCAGGATCTCTTACCCTTTGAGACAGCATGGAGGAACATGGAGAGTATTATCATAAGTAAAATAGGCCAGTCAGAGAAAGACAATTATGTGGAATCTAATGAACAAAATAAACTGATGAACAAAATAGATCCAGAAACATAGAAGCATGGAACAAACTGTCAGATTTCAGGAGGAAGGCGGAGGTGAGTGGGTGAGAGGAAAGAGATCAACCAAAGAACATGTATACATACATACATAACCTATGAACATAAACAGTTGGATGGTGAAGGCCTGGGGTGGAGAGTAGGCTAGAAAAGGTTAATGAGAGGGATAAAAGAAGACTATGTAATACTTTCAACAATAAAGATAAAAAATAAACAGGGGCATGACTTGATCAGATTTGTGTTTGCAAGTTTTTATACAGAATGAAAGTGGACACATCGAGGCCAGCTAGGACACTGTTTTAAATTATGGGTGAAAAGTAATAGAGTTTGAATGCAGTGCCAAAGAGGTTGAAGATGAGTGGGTAAATGTGGTTTCAGTAATTGACTAAAGCTTATTGCGGTGTGAAGGAGGGGAGAGGCAAGAATGACCTCTAGGTTTCTGCTTTGGAATTTGGTACGTGGGGATGTTCGCTAAGGTAGGAAACACAGGGCTGTTCTTCACAGAAGCCTGACTGAGAAGACTCTAGGTCCAGAGAGGACTTTTTAAAGTGCTTTTATTAATGAATTGTGTATATGGCAATGAATTCCTGATGATATAGACATTAGAGGGATGCTTAAATGAAACCCATCAATGTTCTCATTTGTCCTCTCTCAGCATGCCACTTTTCTACGTTTATCCACTTAGAACAGCACAAGTGGCCAATCAGTTTCGTTTACCTTTATATCTTCTTGAGAAGAACTTCCAGTGAGCAATAAAGTAGGGAGAAGAAAGAGATTGGAGTAAAGTGAAAACTGTGTACATCAAACCCTCGTAATATTGTTCATAGAGATTGCAAGTTAAAGCAATACATAAAATATAAAGGCATAAACATTACCCTACTCTTGTGTCCTAATACCATATTTTAATAGCTAATTATTAGCTATGTATCAAATAAATCAGTATAAATTAGCCTACTTCTCAAAAATAGGGCAAGTTATTTAAGTAGTGTCATGAGTGACCTGACTGACCCTGATATATCTACAATCAAAGGCACTCACAAGGATAAGATTTAGCGCCTGTTCTGGCCATTGGTCTGTAAGAACGATGACATAATCGTTTCACGTAATTGTGTGCATTTATACCATCAAAACTGTAAAATGAATTTTTCTTAGTTGTTTTATATTGCTGTTTCTCCTATATAACTATACTTACAAGGATTTATTTTTTTTTAATTTTTATCATCCATGTATAGGTGACAATTGTGATCAAGTATTTCTTCCAATTTGGGTTCTTTCCCTGGAATAAGCTTGTGGAATTGAACAAGGACAAACCTTTCTACCCAACTAATATTATAGGTGTGGAAAAGAAAGATGGTTATGTTCTGTATGATCTCATTCAGCTTCTGGCTCTTTTCTTCCACCGATCAATTTTGAAGGTACAGTTTTAACAGTTAACCAGCCCATGTTGATAAGTGTTGTCCCTGTAATATTCCTAGAGACTGTGAACATTAGGATTGGTGATAGTGCTGAAGGGTCAGTGGATGGTGTCCACTTGTATGCTTTAAAACACACACACACACACACACACACACACACACACACACACCATCATATTCATTTAGTGGACATTTTCTTCAGTACTCTGTGCTGAATAATGTAACTTATAATAAATCTGGGAGCAGAATAAATGCAGAGTCTGACTGTCTGAGCGCTCAGGAGGCTGTGAGCTCATTGAGGAACTTTGAGCAGCAAGTTCATTGTCAGGGTAACTTGTGGTCCAGGTAGCATCATGCTCCAGGAAGGCCTCTGTTCTCTCGCCTCCTTTTCCGCTGTCATTTCTCCTCTCTTTATCAGCCCTTTCATCCCAGTTCCCTGAAGCAAAACTCAGGCTCTGCAGAATGCATCATAATCTGTTTCACATGTGGGCCAACATTTTTGAGTTAAGTATTTGCAGCTCTGTTTCTGAGTCAGCCATGGATGATTCAAGGATTCACATCATGTTACGGAGCTTGGAGAGGGGCAGCATTATTGTTCAAGTACAGATATTTAGTAAACATGAGGCAATGGGGCTAAAATCACCCACTTACACTTCAAGTTGATACTTGGAGTGCTAGTCGTAAGCTCATGGAACAAGTCAAGGGATTGTAATTTCACCTTTTCTCCATCTACCAAACATCAGCTGTCTCCATCTTACTTAATTAGCCAAACTTTTCTCCTCTTACCCACCCATATCCACTCTCTTGGGACCATCATAAAATTATAGGTAATAAGCTTTCTTAGAATCTCTTCCCTGCCTTGGTTTTCTAATCTTTTTTTAAGTACAGCTTTATTGAGGTATATTGGACAAAATTATAAAACATTTAAACTGGACATGTGGTGATTAGATACATGCATACCTTGTGAAAGGATTTTTCCATCTAGGTAATTACACATTCATTACCTCACATATGTATTTTTTTAAATATATTTTATTGATTTTTGTACAGAGAGGAAGGGAGAGGGATGAGAGAGAAACACCTATCAGCTGCCTCCTGGGGATGTGCCCACAACCAAGGTACATGACCTTGACCAGAATTGAACCTGGGACCTTTCAGTTCGCAGGCTGATGCTCTATCCACTGAGCCAAATCGGTTTTGGCCTTTTTTTTTTTTTTTTTTTTTTTTTTTTTTTTATGAGAACATTCAAGTTCCATTCTCTCTGCAAATTTCAGTTACATAACAACAGACAATAACACAGGGTTACCAAATACAATCACTCCATTTTGCCTTTGGTTTTCTAATCTAAGGGAATAGTCTGTTCGATAAAATATTATAGGGCAGAACACCAGCTCCCTCACCTGAAACAGCAATCTGAATTGCCCCTTCCCGTGCTTTCTCAGTGCCACGGCTTATGGGATGAAGATGACATTGCGGACAGTGGCACCGACAAGGAAGAGTCAGATGAAGAGCAGTCCCTCAGTCACGGCAGAAGGGACTCCTCTGATTCTCTGAAATCCATCAACCTGGCTGCATCCACGGAGTCAGTGCACGTGTCCTTCCCTGAGCAGCTGACGGCTGTCCGGAGGAACCGTTCGAACAGCGGCTCCCAGATATCCCACAGATCCAGCTTTTCTTCAAATAGGTCTCAAAGAGGTATCCCTGGGCTGGAAATACCCACTGGGGCTCTCGTTTTACTGGTGCCAGTGTGTCTGGGGCAGAGAGTTCGTTGGGTGCTACCAAGCAGGCAGATACTGTGATGTGAATCGAAAGTGCTTTGAAATCAGACAAGAATTCAAGTGCTGACTCAGCTGTGTGTGTGGCCTGGCGCTGTCACATCATTGCTCTAAATGTCTAATTCCTTCCGGGACAAGGACTTCAGATAATTGTGGAAAGTGGCCAGCATAGTGCTAGGACCTAGAATCTGTTGGGCATACCACAGTTTTAAAATCAGATCCATAAATTCTGCTGGGTGTGTTCAGAGTGCGGTAAATCACAATTTATTTCAAAAAGATACTTATATTTCATTGATGGGAACTTTCAGCTATACTATCTAATAATTTGCTCATGTATTCATTAACTTCTTACTAAGTAGGGAGTGCAATCAGAAAGTAAATATGCCTTACAGTTGTCACTCTAGGAGTAATTGAGCATTTGTATTTATATCCTGTCTGAAACTTACCAAACACTTGTGTACAGTCATGCATTGTATGACTTTTAGATCACCGATGGACTGCATATATGATGGTGGTCTACCATATAGCCTAGGTGGGTAGGAGGCTGTGCCATCTAGATCTGTGTACACTCTGTGTTGTTCACACAACTACAAAATTGCATACTGACACATTTCTCAGAATCTAGTATACCCAAATAATGTATCATTAATTGGTGCATGACTGTATTCATCTTCAGAATATACTTTTCAGGCAGATGCTGGAAGGTCCTCATATTCATTTTACAATTAGAGAAATTAGAACATCAGAAAAGGGCTGGGCCATGGACCCAACCTGAGAAACCTGCAACCTAGCCCCTCAGGTAGTACTGAAAAAGCCGCTCTCCCCATGTGTTTCGTCCTGGGACAGAGATCTCATAGCAATCCAGGGATGACTCAGCATTGGGTGTACAAACCCACAGATGCCTTTTACCACCAAAGCAGGGCTGAGGCGGCAGATTGCAAATGCCCAGTCACTGCTCCTACAGACATGTGTGTTCTTCCCTCTGAGTCAGTTTCAAGCCATCCCTTTGCCATGTGGGCCCCAGGGACTCCTTTGGTGCCTATGTCAACTAGTCTGTGCCTCACAGTGCATCTTGGCTTCCTTTTATTCCTAGGTAGCACAAGCACCCGAAATAGCAGTCAAAAAGGAAGCAGTGTTTTGAGCATCAAACAAAGAAGCAAAAGGGAACTTTACCTGGAAAAGCTTCAAGAACATTTAATCAGAGCAAAAGCACTTACCATAAAAAAGTAAGTGCATACAAACACTTGGGGTGTGGGTTTTATTTTAGGGCCGGGGGACTTAGGGAAATAATTGATAACAAATGGTTCATATATAGCAGAGGTGAAGAACAGAGAAGTGGTTTCTCATATCACAAATATCCTCTTAAGGAAGAAAAAAATGATAATATTTTTAAAAATCACTTTTCAATAAGTGTGATTTATTTTTACATTCATTGCATTTAGAAACACACATTTTCTATTTGAACAGGATAAATAGATAATCTCAGAAGCTCACAGTATGTAATTCCAGGCATTCTCATGGAAAGGACTACTGGATAGAGAAGAATTCGTTGTCAAAGCCTGAAAGACCTTAGTCATACATTCTCATTCTAGAGAGGAGAAACAGAGGCACATGATGGGGAAATGGTTTGTCAATGATAGCCAGTCTCCAACAAAGTGCACAGGTTCTTCCCAAGTGTCAGGGCTGCAGACCAACAGCAGATGAGGAGGCAGCAGGGCTGGTCCTGAATATGGGCTCTCAGGCCTGGAGGCCCATCCATACCTGAACATGGCCTTGAACTGGAGGTAAAACCCAGAGCACAGTAAAGAGAAAGCAGAGCCAAAAGGACATGGTAACTAAGGACAGAGCTAAGTGAACTAAAGCGCAGGGTACTCCCTGGGAACCATGAGAAGAGAGGCCCAGGACCCACATGGGGGAAGGGCAGGGCTGGCTAACCATGGCCTAGCGCCTGGTCAGCACTTCAGGTATGAGCATCCTGGTGTATTCCCATGTATTTCTCAGTCCAGCCCTATGCCTCAGGTCTTATTACTACCTTCTTTTACAGAAGAGGAAATAAAAACAAGGAGCATTAAGTAGCATGCTCAAGGTCTCATAGGTGCAGACTAAATGAATCAGGTGACAAAGCAGGTACCTAAATTTCAGGGCTTTATATCACTGTATCACAAGAAAAAAGGCATGTGCTCCTACCTTGGCAGGGAACTTGTATGCACTCCGTTCCAGCAGGCGGCCCTTTCCCCCCCACCCCCCCTGCAGGACTGTCCCAAGGCTGAGAGAGAGAGGTGTAACCCGTTTGGAAAGAGGAATAGAATGACTGTAGAATCTGGTCATTTCTCCACTCGCGCCTCTCCTGAAGCAAAGGGGTGGGGGTCTGTGTTTTGCAGGACTCTGCAAATCTATGTGCCCATCAGACAGTTCTTCTACAACCTCATCAACCCAGACTACAGCGCCGTGACCGACGTATATGTGCTTATGTTCCTGGCTGACACTGTGGACTTCATCATCATCGTCTTTGGCTTTTGGGCCTTCGGGGTAGGTAAAGGCCACCATGCACCCAATGACTAATAGTGATGTGTCCTGTGAAATGTCACTCAGGCCAGAACCTGTTGTCTTTCCCAGAAACACTCAGCAGCGGCAGACATCACGTCTTCTCTGTCCGAGGACCAGGTGCCCGGGCCGTTTCTGGTGATGGTCCTCATTCAGTTTGGAACCATGGTGGTGGACCGAGCACTGTACCTCAGGAAGACTGTATTGGGAAAGGTCATTTTTCAGGTCATTCTTGTGTTTGGAATTCACTTCTGGATGTTCTTCATCTTGCCTGGAGTGACTGAGCGGTAAGGACTTTGGAAACTGTTGGTGCTGGTTAGGATGGGTTAGACACTGAGATTTACAAAGAGTAGCCAAAAATTTGATAGGGAAAGGCCTGGTAAGATCCTGGAGGCTGCTAATACCAGCTTTCCCTCTATCATCTTGAATCCTAAGCATCTTCTGTGTTAACTTTCAGTTCTCCAAAGATACCACTCCAAAGCAAGCCCTTCCATTCCCTCCCCTTCTCTTCTGCCTCCAACCCACAGTGCCTCTTCTTTGTCACTCTGTAGGTCTCTGTAGTCCATGTGTTACTTTTCCCAGGTCTTCTCACCCCACACCTCAAATTTGGTGCTTAATGCACGAATGAATGAATGTGTCAATCGATAATAGAAAAATAAGGGAGATAGCTATAAATAGGAACTGTTAGGATATGATAATAAAGGGTCCACAGAAGGGGAACATGGACTGGTCCATATGGTGCAGTAAAAATATTTTTAATAATATCATTAAACGTCTTCATTTTTAACATGAACTTGATCTTATGCACTAGAGTCATTCAGAGTTAAGCCTTAAGAATAGCATGTCAATAAGCGTGGCTAATTAGAAGTGTGAATGAAAATGAATTGAACTTTACAAAATTATGGTTGTACATTTTTCTTTTCGAGCTTTAATTTTTGGACAGAGTAGCAGCAATATCCACATTGTGAGAAAAATGTTAATAGTAAATTTACTTAACAGTAATTTATTTTATTTATGGCTTAAACAACTAACTGATACACTAATACCTTAGAGCACATGTGTCAAACACAAGGCCCACGGGCCAAATCCGTCCTGCCAGGCCTTGCAATGTGGCCCGCACCGCGCTGTCATCACTGCACTCCGCTGCGTTTCCATCACAATGACAGTTTATGACTGTTCAGTAAACCAGTCGGCCCGCGATTTAGGCTGGATTTTAGATTTTGGCCCCTTCTCTGATCGAGTTCGACACCCCTACCTTAGAGGCACCATTCATAGGATCTTTTTATTACCCTACCTTTTGCCTGTGAAGTGATCAACTATACATAGTGAATTCCTTTGAATTGACTGAATTGACTTTAATGCTAGAGGGGCAATTAGGCTTCTGTTAAAATCCTAAACTGGTTTCCTTTTACCAGAAGAGGAGTCCATTCCCTCACTTTTCTGAATGTTTCTGTTTTAGGAAATTCAGCCAGAACCTGGTTGCTCAGCTTTGGTACTTTGTAAAATGTGTTTACTTTGGGTTGTCTGCCTACCAAATCCGTTGTGGCTACCCTACACGAGTGCTTGGAAACTTCCTCACAAAGAGCTACAATTACGTCAACCTCTTCCTGTTTCAAGGGTAAGGACACATGCTGTATGCCAAAGTCACTCACAGAGGGCCACCAAGTGGAAGGCATTCTGCTTCCTACCTGGGAAAGAATAGGAAGAGGAAGATTGCTGATGTACAGGAAGGAAACTCTTACAGTATTTAGGAATAGAGCAGATACGCTTTTTGAAATACCTTTCTATGTGCAGCTGCCACACACCTGACCAGGATGTTCTGGGGTCATCCACGTGGGTTAATTTTCTATTTCTATATCCTGCATAATTACTGTGATAATATTTTGGGATTCATGATCCTTAAGTATAAATAAATTTCTGGGCACAATGAGACAAAATATTTGGAACCTAGACTATTCCAAAATACCTTTGGAATTTTGCACGCACAGCAAGTCCATGCATTGAATAGGCCATTTATTCCCCCCTAACATCAGTGGGAATGCCACGTGACTTGCTTATTCCTGGTAGTAAGTTAGCTGCTGAAGGAAGCATATTGCTCGTCCATGTGAGCATTTCATTGGTAGCATCTGCTCTCTGTTTGCTCAGAAATCAGTCATAAAAATCAGGCTGATTACATAAAAGTCAGTCTGCTCTTGGCATGGCTGGCTCCTACTTAAGACCAAACTTGGGGGCTAGGGACTTGGTCATAAAAGTGGTATTGAGCATGCTCAGATGTCAGGAACCTCCAGTGTGGAACAGTGCTTCACTTAGTGGCATCCTGTATGGGGGCTGATATTTCTTCCCCATGTTGAATTAGTGCTCTCTGGGAAAAGCTGTGTAGCCCACAGGAGAATACCAAGCAGTAACCCAAGATGATGTGAGGGCTTTGAAATTAACCCAGACCCTCCAGCCTGGGAGAAGCTGTCAGTCAAGAAACAGGGAACAGTCTGCAGACTTGAGAGGAGCCCAGGCCAACCCATTCCCAATTGAAATATAAGAGACTGAGCCAGCGTCCTGTTGGCCTTAGTCATCTAGTAAGTCTACTGTGTGCCCCAAAGACATGTCCTGTTTCCTCCGATGGCTCTCATTTCCCTGGTTTTCACTTACAAAGTGTATTAACTTTCCCAGCTCACTCAACAACAAAGCCCTAACAATCAAATCAATAAGCCTGTGTCCAGCAGATTATTGTAACATGAATAAATAAATGCTTACAAAATATATTTGCAGATTACATAATTTTATATATAAATATCCTAAAGACTTGCCCCCCAAAACTTGAGAACTAATCAATGAATTCAGTAAAGTTGCAGGATACAAAATCCAACATTCAGAAATCAGTTGTGATTCTACCACTAACAATGAAATATCTGAAAAAAAATAAAGAAAAACTTTCATTTGCAATAACATCAAAAATAATAAAATACTTAGAAATAAACTCAACCAAAGAAGTGAAAGATTTGTACAATTTCTTATAAAATAAATTGAAGAAGACACTTTTAAACACTCAAAAAGGGAATCCCAGTTTGTTAAGACCATCAGCCAAAAAAGAAAGAAAGAAAAAAGGAACGGAAAATACCAACTCATTTATTAGACTTCTAATGAAAAGCAGTTGCATTCCAAGTTGAATTTTATCATAAGGGTCACCTTGAGAAATTTTTTTCTAAGAGCTAAGAGCTAAAGCATTAAGAACTGCATGCATTCCCATTGTTAGCTGAATATTGGGGGCCATCCCAGAACTGTCTCTTTAACAACATGTGGTTTCTGCCAGGTTCCGCCTTGTTCCATTTTTGACTGAGCTAAGGGCTGTGATGGACTGGGTGTGGACAGACACGACCTTGAGCCTCTCCAGCTGGATCTGTGTGGAGGACATCTATGCTCACATATTCATCCTGAAGTGTTGGCGGGAGTCGGAAAAAGTAAGCCAATAAAAATGCCTTATCCTCATTTGTCTCTCTTAGATACAGACTGATTATAAGATTAATGTGAACCTTTGCAAGTTTTGTGGCCAAATAAATGGAGACAGGGGCAAAACTACTAGGACTTATAAATATCCTATTGATTTTCACCCCACTAGAGTTGGGAATTTTGGACATACTGCTGTCTTAGCAATAGCATCCAGATGTGTTCTTCTTTTGGCCACTGTGTATTGTAGTTATTTTTAAAAGAAGAAATTATATACTGCTGTGTGGCTCAATAATTCTTAACCAACTCATTGGGGAACAGGAGGAAATTTGCTATGGTGGAAAAAAGTTGGGTGAGGTGGCTTGGTCTCAGGCTGACCACCTGATGTGCTTTTTGATGAGGGACAGACAATGTTACTGCTTTGTGCAAAGGAAATTGAAATGCAAATACCTCATTATTCTTCCAGGTTGCATATTAAGATTAAAAATAGAATTACAATTATTGATATTTATAGGATTCTCAAGTTTAACGCATGAAGCAGGAATCTCTTGCATAATAACAATAAAAATACTCAAGCAACATTAGCTGAGGTGGTGTGAAATGTCTTCTTTTTTTTTTCTCATCTCTTTGAAAAAGTCCCCTCTAGTCCGTGTAATCTCTGTATTCTACAGTTTCTTCTGGGAATTGTAGTCATGGGGCCATTAACTCAATAGTCTCTGTGTTTGGGCATCTGTGGGAGTGAAGGAGAAGGGGCTGGTAATATAATTAAAATTGTGTTAGCTTTTCCTGATTTTTAAGGTACAAGAAAACTGATATAATGACAAAATATGAGAGCCAGTCTACCAAAGAGACAGTAGAAATCAGGACGACAAAAAGATCTGGAAATCATGTCATATGAAAACAAGGAGGAAGAACCAAGAATTATTTAGTCTGAAGTTTAAAAATGTGAGGAGGGAGAAACAAACTATTTGAAATATTAGAAAATATATTGCAATTTTGAATCAATTTGTAAGATCCAAGAAAGGTAGACAAAAGCTCCAGTAAGTTTCAATGGAACATAAAGATCTTCCTAAGAATCACAGAAAAGAAACCGAAGACATCTTTAAACATTTAAAAAGGGAATCCCCGTTTATTAAAACCATTTAAAAAAAAAAGGGGGGGGGGAATCTTACCCTTACCCTTTGCAACAGCATCCATGGACTTGGAGAGTATTATTCTAAGAGAAATAAGCCAATCAGAGAAGGACAAGTACCATATGACTTCACTCATATGTGGAAAGAACAAAATAAACAAACAAAATAGAAACAGACTCATAGATACAGAGAACAGACTGAGAGCTGTCAGAGGGGAGGAGGACTGGGGGCTGGGTGAAAAAGGTGAAGGGATTAAGCAGAAAAAAAAGAGAAAAGCCTCATAGACACAGACAACAGCATGGTGATTACCAGAGGGAAAGGGGGGAGGAGGAGGTAGAAGAGAGTAAAGGGGGGGATAAATGATGATGAAAAGATTTGACTTGGGGTGGGAAACACAATACAATATACAGATGATGTATTATAGAAGTGTATACCTGAAACCTATATAATTTTACTAACATCACCCCAATAAATTAAATTAAAAAAATAAATAAATAAATAAATAAGTAAATAAGCCAAAACCGGTTTGGCTCAGTGGATAGAGCGTCGGCCTGCGGACTGAAAGGTCCCAGGTTCAATTCTGGCCAAGGGCATGTACTGTGGTTGTGGGCACATCCCCAGTAGGTGGTGTGCAAGAGGCAGCTGATCAATGATTCTCTCTCATCGATGTTTATAACTCTTTATCCCTCTCTCTTCCTTTCTGTAAAAAAATCAATAAAATATATTTTAAAAAACAAAAATAAATAAATAAAAGCCACATTTTAATGTATCTCCTTAATTTAAATATATGCTCTACCTTATGCTAAGTCTCTGGCTATTTAAATCACTCACGGTAAAACATCTGGAGAAACCTGGGTAGGTGAGAGGTAAGTATTAAATGTCTAAATGAATCTGACACTAGTTTCTACTTCGTCCCATAAGAGACTGAAGCATTACCAGTAACCATCACTTTTCTAATATGAAGCAGAAGAGTACGCGTCTTTTAAAAGTAACTTTTCTTGGGGCTTATTCCGTATTGAATGTAATGTGTTCCTGGGGTTTCATGAATGCACTTTAGATGAAGAAACGACAATAAGTAACCGGAACCGGTTTGGCTCAGTGGATAGAGCGTCGTCGGTCTGTGGACTGAAAGGTCCCGGGTTCGATTCTGGTCAAGGGCATGTACATTGGTTGTGGGCACATCCCCGGTGGGGGGTGTGCAAGAGGCAGCTGGTTGACGTTTCTCTCCCATCGATGTTTCTAGCTCTCTGTCCCTCTCCTTCCTTCTCTGTAAAAAATCAATAAAATATATTTAAAAAGAAAAGAAAGAAACGACAATTTCCTGAGAGGTCCGTGTTGGCAGGAGCACACACAATGCAAGCCACTCACTCCTAGTCATGTTTTACTATGACTTCCATGTAGCCACTTCCCCAAACACTTTTTTTTTTTTAACATGCTTCTATTAACTTTAGAAAGAGGAAGGGAGAGGGAAAGAGAGATAGAAACATCAATGATGAGAATCACAGGTTGGCTGCCTCCGGCACGCCCCCTACTGGGGATCAGCCAGCAACCTGGCCATGTGTCCTGACTGGTAATCAAACTGTGACCTCCTGGTTCATGGGTGGAGGTTCAACCATTGAGGAACACAGGCTGTGCCAAAACAATTTAAGAAGCTGTTTGGAAATGCAGTGAGACTGGAACTACAAACTGGAACTCTTGGTCAAGAGTTGACTCACCTAGGAAAGGGGTGATGGAGCAGCATAGAACAGGAAGGTGACAGTTGCTTTGAAAGTTAAAGGGAAAGAGAGCCTCATAATTAGAGAGAGGCCAAAGGTCTTGGTCCTGTTCTTTCCTGGAAAATGCATGGAGGGGTGAGTAGAAAACGGGGAGGAGGTATGGGGATTACTGGGAGCTTTTCGAGGGGAACCTCAAAGGGGAACCAACATGGTCCCACAACAGGCAGAAGAGACTCAAACTGCTCTTGACAGAGAATAGATAAATCTCCTTTAACTCACCAAGTTCTCCGCTATGTAATACTAGGGTGCTGTTGGAGTGGGTTAAGTGGCCCATTGTCTAGACTGGCCTCGCTGAGAAAATAATGAAAAAACAAATCTGTGGTGTATGAATATGTATTTCCAAATGTTAAATATTTTAGTTTTTCTTTTAAAATAGAAAATTTTAAACCATAATATCAAATTCCAATGCAACAGTATTAAAATATTAATACTGTCCTTAATATGAACCTCACCCAACTTCACAGCAGTCATTTAGAAGCATCACCTTTCTCGCACTGAGTCAATAATGCTTTCCATACTGGCTCTGACCAGCTCGTGTCCTCATGGTTCCGAGCCCATATTCAGGAGCTACTCAGTGTCAAAGCTCAGCGAGCCCTTTGGCAATGAGTGTCCTTTAAAGTCCCCAGAGAGGTCTCTGCAGGCTTCCAGACCTTTCTCTTAGTGTGTAACCCTGAGCTCAGTGCCTACAGGTAGAATGTACATTATTTTTCTTGCCCTAAACGTACTGAAATGAACTCATCTTAATGGAGTGTGAGCCCCAGGTTGGGAAGGGGCGACAGCTGCCAGATGATACATGTAGCCTAAGTTCAGGGGTCACCCTGGAAGGAAACTAGGTCACTGAGAAGCAACATTTAAGCAAGGAATATGCATATAGAGTTGGAGCAGTTTTAATATCAGACAGCAAAGCAGGCTCCTTCCACCTTGCCCATATCTTCTAAGACAGAGCTTAGTGGGTCTCTTAGCAAAGTGAATGGAAGTGATTCCAGCCCTACCAAGTGCTACACACACACCTGTCACCACCCCCAACCCCACCCCTCTCAGCATAGCACCCGAGCAGAGGACTGTGCTGATCCTGCAGATCGTGTGGCATGCCTTGAACAACATTGTTTTGACAACATGTGATGAATGAAGTGAAAAATGTTTTTCCACCCAGCAAGAGGGAGAAGGGCTCAGTTAAAAGGCAAAGCTTTTGAATGCTCGGGAATTTAAAGTAAAATGTCTTTCTCCCGCATGATCCCATAAAACCAGAGGCTTTATTCAGCACCACATTTGATCCGTTTGTCCTGAGGTTTATCACCAACACAACCCACAGAACAATTTTAGGGAGACAGTCACCGGGGTCCTGTTGGTCCCACGTGGCACCGTGGTGGGGACATGTAGGGAGCTCACCACGTCTTCATGTCACCACCTACCTTGGTTCCCAGGTTGGGACAAGGTTGCTCCCCCACGTCAGAACAAACAGCAGAATCGGGACTGAATCGAGTCCCAACCCCATGAGATGAGCACTCGTGCAACCCCCTGCTTCTCAGGGGACAGCGGCCTGAGCCTTGTGTGAACTCCTCTGTTGCAGAGATACCCTCAGCCCCGGGGGCAGAAGAAGAAGAAAGTGGTGAAGTATGGCATGGGAGGCATGATCATCGTTCTGCTCATCTGCATTGTCTGGTTCCCTCTTCTCTTCATGTCTTTGATCAAATCTGTTGCTGGCGTGATCAACCAGCCCCTGGATGTCTCGGTCACAATCACCCTGGGTGGTTACCAGGTAATGGCTGTGCACTTCCTCCTGGTTTCGCTCAAGTACCTTACCACACACAGTACTCTTTCCTGATTCACCCCTACGGGACGAGTAGTTAGAGTTTGCCAGTCCACATTCCCTATCTAAAGTTTGACTTCTCAGCAAATCTGTGATGTTGGAAATAAGGGGAAGGAGAGGCCTGCTCTGGATTGGGGTGCAGGAATAATCCCTTCAGAAAAGAGCTCTCTGAGGTGAGCTGTTCCTGGGTGCTCAGGGGGTGGCATCCTATGCGAACCTTTCCCCTTTGACCCAGGAGGCAGAGAAGAGCTTCAGAATATTCACAACACTGTGTGTCTTGTTTTCCAGCCTATTTTCACAATGAGTGCCCAGCAAAGCCAACTGAAAGTTATGGACAGTGCCAAGTATGAGAACTTTAAGAAAGCATTCTCTAGTGACACTGTAAGTAAATGTATATAATGGACTTCTATGAAGAGCTTTCATCTAGGTGAGCTGAGGGGTTGTCATATTAGTCACTATTTGCCATGGCCTGGAAGGGGGGTAGATTTTCAGAGATTTTCAGCTGAACACAACAGATTCCGAGCCACTGGCCATTTTGATCATAAAAGACATCATTTCTATATTATTGGATGTGTTAATATTCATAATTTTATTTCAGAATATTTCAATGTAAGCTCAACAGGGGTTGATCCTTTTAAAATATTTTTTTAATTTTTAAAGTTTGGGTAGATATTTATTCTTTTGACTGGTTGGTCTATTCTGAGAATCTACCCTAAAGGAATAATTAAAAATATAGAAAAAGTGCTATGTTAGTACCTGCTTTTGACAACATTCCCTGTATTAGTAAAAACTGGAAGCAGTTGAGACCGGTTTGGCTAAATGAATAGAGCATCGGCTTGGGGACTGAAGGGTCCCGGGTTCGATTCCGGTCAAGGGCATGTACTTGGTTGCGGGCACATCCTCAGTAGGGGGTGTGCAAGAGGCAACTGATCGATGACTCTCTCTCATCGATGTTTCTAGCTCTCTATCTCTCTCCCTTCCTCTCTGCACAAAATCAATAAAATATTTTTAAAAAAAACTAAAAAAAAAACTGGAAGCAGCTTGAGGATTAGTAGGGACTGGTTGAATAAATCATGGCATGTGTATGTAGCGAATTTGATTAGCTCTGACTACCCAAGGGTGGTCATAGTAGAAGAAAGGGACTTTATATTTTCTTTACATACTTTGCATTTTCTTTACATATGATGTTGTCTAAATATTTTTCAAGCTACTTCTGTAATAAAAAATAATAATTACCTTTTATAATTAAAAAAATTTTTACAAATAATTTTTATACATTTTTTTTAATATGGCTTTTTTTATTTTAGAAGAAGGAAGAGGAAGAGAGGCAGAAAAACACTGATGAAAGAGAGCCATGGATCGGTTGCCTCCACTTGCCCCCTACTGAGGATCCTGCAACCCAGGCTTATATCCTGACGGCTTGGATCCAGTGACCTCTTGGTCCTTGAGTTTACGCTCAACTACTGAGCAACACCAGCTTGGCTACAATTAATATTTATTATTTAATTTTAAAAAAGGAATTAAGCAGTCCTAACTGGTGTATCTAAGTAGTTAGAGCATTGGCCTGTACACCAGAGGATCTTGAGTTCAATTCCTCCTCAGCAGCCAATACCTGGGTTGCAGGTTCGATTCCAATCCCTGTTTGGGATACCTATGGGAGGCAGCCAATCAAGGTGTCTCTCTCATATTGATGCTTCTCTCCCCTCTACCTGCCCCCTCTCTTCTGTTCTCTCTAAAAAAAAAAATCAATGGACAAAATATTTTTTTAAGTGATTGGGTAAACAGAGGCATTTCTCTTTTGTAAAATTATTGGTCTCTGATGCACACTATCAAAACCAACCTTGAGAGATGAACATCTGTGAGGACAGGGCCAGGATTTCTGGGTCAACGAAATGTGACTCTCTTACCAGAGAGACGTTTTTCCAAAAGTTGAAAAATTTTCTTCTTAGTGAGAAGGAAAAGATATACTAAGTCATCTGATTTGCCTTTACTATTTAATTTGAGTGATTCCATAGCTGTATTGGTGTGGCAGTACCGCCACTGGGCTTTGATGATGTCACTGGCAGGGGAATAAAGTCAGTGCAATGGGACACCAAGATAATCTGTATAGAAATGTTCCTTTTAAAGAGGAAATGATCTCTAAACAGTCAGTTAAGAGGAAGAGTGATAACTTTATCATCATTGTGTATGTGATCTATTTATGCATGTGTATTTGTGTGCATATAGGGTGCTATGCAATTTCTGGAAAATTATGAAAAAGAAGACATAACAGTAGCAGAACTGGAAGGAAACTCAAATTCTTTATGGACCATCAGCCCTCCCAGTAAGCAGAAAATGGTACACGAGCTCCTGGATCCCAATAGTAGCTTCTCTGTTGTTTTTTCATGGAGTATTCAGAGGTAGTTACTGCATTTCCATGCATAATTTCCCTTTTCCCCCAATCTAAACTCGGGATGGGGTGGGGAGCTTAATAATATAGAAGAAATATATTAATGTGGATCTCAGTTTGCATTACATCATGGGAACAATCATTCAATGCTACTAACATTTTTGTTTATTAAATAATGGTTTGCCTGGGAATCATTGACAAAACTAAAATTTATTACATTTCCTTTTTTCTACTAAGTTTTTTTTTTTCTTCTTCTAATTATCACCCAAGGACATTTTTTAATTTATTTGTAGAAAGAGAATAGAGGGAAAGGAGAGGAGAGGAGAGGAGAGGAGAGGAGAGGAGAGGAGAGGAGAGGAGAGGAGAGGAGAGGAGAGGAGAGAGACATCAATCAGTTGCCTCCCATACATGCCCCAATAGGGGACTGAACTCACAACCTAGATATGTCACCCAGACTGGAAATTGAATCTACAGCCTTTTGGTGTACAGGACAATGCTCAACCAACTAGGCCACTGGGCCAGGGCTAAGTTCCATTTCAAAGAGAGGCTGGCAAGGTGCCTCGTTAGCGCAGTAGGTAGCGCGTCAGTCTCAAAGAGAGGCTGGCAGTGAGTTCTGTGAGCAAGAGAGAAAGGTAGAAAGAAAAAAGGGCGATGACTCATAAAATGAAACAGAACCTGGATGTATTGTAAGATTTTCCTAAAAGGTTGAAGTTTGGCCTTCTATGATTTTATTCTTTTCTTTTTTTTTTTGTTTTACTAAATTTATTCATAAAACCATACAGGTTTCAAATGTACAACCCAATAAAGCATCACCTGCACACTGCACCATGCCATCATTGCCCCCAAGCAAAGTATTTTTCAGTCCCCACCCTCCTCTGACCTCCACCAACCTCCCACCCCCCTTTCCTCTGGCCATCATCACACTGTTGTCTGTGTCTATGTGTTATGTACATGTTTTTTGCTTAATTTCTTCACTTTCTGCCACTGAAAATTTGGTCTTAATAATAAAGAATGTGCAGCCTTAGGAACCCAGCTTCTCACTTGCATCTCTCCAATATCCAGGGAGCCCTAGCAGATCTTTCCTCCAAGCATGAGATGTGAGAGCAGCTTGGCAGACCCAGGAGAGTGGAGCTGAGGGAAATGGCTATTCACCGAACCTGAGCCAATGGCCAGCACGTGGCTGCTCCTTCACCTGTTTAGACTGAGCATGTCTTAGGAAAAGTTCTGGCATCCCAACGCCAGATGTGTTAGGGAAGCAGTTCGGGGGCCTCAACACAATATACCCACTGATTAGTTTCTTCCACCACAGTTGTGACTGAGGACTCTCTACAAGTTTATTTGTCAACCAAGCTTTAGGTTCATGTGGGTCCACCATTCCAGCTTCTCCGATGGAATTAAGAAAAAATCATGATAGGTACAGAAGAAAGCCTTCTAGAATCTAAAGCGAATTCACAAGGAAATAGTAAAGAAATATTCCAAAAGGGGATAGTTGATCATGCAAAAGAGTTTCTTTAATTTTATTTTCTTGTTTAAATGCCCCAGATTCCTCACATGAAATTCTGTACTGCCAAGAAAATTTACTCCTTAGCCTTTCTTTGAAGACCTACCAAAAAAGTAACAACAACAGGAAACATCACCTTATGATTGAACATTCTTTTAAAAATGTGGATTCCATTAGTCACCGGGAACACCAGTTTCACCAGATTGACATAGAGAGGGTTTGGGAAATGCGTGTCCGAGCAGCAGGACGCTCTCTCTTTTGCTCAGCAGACTGTGCCTCCTCCTCCTCCTCCGCCATTTGTGTGAAAGTGTGTGTGGCCTCCCTGGGGTTTACTAACTTGGTTGTCTAAGAAATAGGACATACAGCTGAGGTGGACAGGAAGGGCTGGGGTTGACAGTACTGGACCCAATAACACCTTGGTGAGATTAATAACATTAAGAATTAAGTGAGTTGATAATTTCTCTTCCAGACTTCTGAATAATCAGCGACATTGACGTGTTGTATGTTTTTTCTTCACAGAAACATGAGTCTGGGTGCAAAAGCAGAAATAGCAACAGATAAACTTTCTTTTCCTCTTAAAAATATTACTCGAGAGAATATAGCTAAAATGATAGCTGGCAACGACACGCAAAGTTCCACAACGCCAGTGTAAGTGGATTGCTCTGTTCCTATAGGTTGAATAGGTGTATGTACCTGGTAAAGAATCCCCACCTACGAATTCATCATGTGCCAGAAATGCACTCATCATTCTTTGGTACCTCTAGTGGATTTCTGTTTGGGGGCCTCGTTGTACTAGATTGAAGCAACTCTATTGCATTCCCTCTCACTCTCTGTCCGCCTAGCCAGGGAGTATTGCTCTCACCCCTGAGCGGCAAGCTGTGCTGTCATCTTCTGTAATCGCCAAAAGCCAAGGGAAGACTCTGCAAGACCCCTTTCCTGTTGCTCCTGCTGCAGGGTCACTGAATGCCTAGCTAATGTGTGTGTGTTGCGGGGGGGGAACACATTTGGCAAAAGGTAAACAGAAATTTGAGGAGGAAATTATATCTTAACATATTATCATGCCACATGAGTGCTCCATTTCAAACACATCCAAGCTGTGATGTTTAGATTCCAATGTAAGAACTAGCAGCAGGAGAAAAAAAAAGTGCTGTTGGTCTAAAACTGCTAAATGATGTCCACCAGCCACTTGCCAGTTCTGTGGCCAGTCTGCCCTGGCCCTGTGTTTATGCTTTGAATGTGGGAACCACCATGATGCAATCCTCAGGCAGATTCCTGACTAAAACATCCTTTGTTAACCAATCAAGTTGAAGGTCCCTCGAAGATTGTCAGATCCACCTCCATCACTTCCCAGATGCACAAATAGGTCTAGGACGATGGGACAATCTCCGCAGGCAACCCTGCTCATCCCTGCAGAGGTTGGATAAGGTTCAGGTCACCAGTTCTCTCCTCACACCTTACTCATATCACTAGATCAAATGCAGTCCACTTGATTATCAATATCTTTGAAATCCTAAAAATCAAGAGTGATCAATGTTATTGATACAAATTATAGGCTCCTAGCAAGAAAGACAGCCCTTTGCTTCAGAAACAGTAGCAGATATGGGAAAATCCCTGCAGCAGTTTTAAGGCATTGATTATTTTGTGTGTAGTGTTTAGATTAGCATTGGGATAGAACCTGATGAATTTGTTTGGCTTCAGAGAATTCCAATTATAACCAGTATCCATAAATGGTGGTGACTACACATTGTATAGATATATAAAGACTCTTGCCATTATTTGTTTGATATAAGGTCAAAATAGCAATAAAAATCAATTTTATGTGGGTAAAACAACTAAAACTCAATTACCTTTTTTTTTTTTCTCTCTTTATGCATAGGACTATAGAAAGGATCTACCCATATTACGTGAAAGCACCTAGTGATTCTAACTCCAAACCTATAAAGCAACTTTTATCTGGTAAGAATGAGAGAGAATCACTCAGTCATTCTTTTTAATCTTTCTTTTATTCAACACACGAGGGTTTGCATTTTTCAACCTCTGTCCAACTTCTTTCCAGTTTTCTTTCCCTTGCAAGAGGCTACGGCTCCTGGCTGTGCTCACCAGCCAGAGGAGTCATTCGCTCACCTGTTCTTCATTTTCTTTTTCTGTTTATTGGTATAGAACCTGATTGACTCAAATTCATATTTAATGACTTACATTACTGCTTAAGTCAGTCTGCTTACTTGTTTCTATTAGCAACCATATCTATGGCAGAAAACTGCCTCTTACAGTGTTAAATATGAAGACCCCACAATAAGAGCAATGAAAAGGTAGTAGGAAATGTACTTGATTCAGCCCACAGGTGATTCCACATCAATGGTAGTGCTCCAGGAACGGTGTTTTTTCCATACAACGGTGATGAGAATGAATTTATGTCTAACTAGTTGTTGGAAAGATGCCCAGGTGATGGGTCTTTCCCTCTCTGGCTGTGACTCTGCTGCTCTGCACATGTAGCTGCAGTGTCTGACCTTTTTAGTAAAAAAGAGAAACCCCACACCCGCCTAGGCCCGCTCTTTCTCTTCACTGCATTGTGAGCATGGCCAGGCGGGCATCCTGGAATGATATGCTGTGGATGGGAGCCAGGTTCTGCCATTTGAAGACTGTTGTGGATGTGCATTAAATCCCAAAATTCTCATGCTAACTTGATTTTATATTTTTTCTCTTCCAGAAAATAATTTCATGAATATCACCATCATTTTGTACAGAGATAATACAACCAAATCTAACAGTGAGTGGTGGGTTCTCAATCTGACTGGAACTAGACTCTACAATCAGCATGCCCAGGCCTTAGAGCTGGTGGTCTTCAATGACAAAGTCAGCCCCCCCAGTCTGGGCTTCCTGGCTGGCTATGGGTAAGGACCCTTTTAACAATGAACAGTTACAAGAGTCTATGTCTGCTAACCACTATGCGGACCTCACAAACTAATACAAAATGATATTAGATGTAAACTGTAATTGAAAAATAAAATTGAAAAATATGCCCCCCCAAAAGAAAACATTTATTTTCTTAAAAAAAAGGAGTCTACTTCTGTATCATATAAAGTTGAAGATGGGAAGCCATTTATCTTCTTAAATTTTTCTAATTTTGTAGCTTAAATATTAAAATTCACAGATCATTGACCTTTCATCTTAAAAAATAAGGAACCAGAGTCCCAAAGAAGCCCCAATCCTCGTGTGGCCCACAATGCTAATGATGGGACTGGAAGCTGTCTTTCCAGCTTGTTAACTATATCTTCCTGTTAAGCACAGTTTGATTGAAGCACTTCAGTGTTTAAATTTAGAAATTAGCATAAATTTATCTTTATTTGCTTAGGCTTCCTTATGCCCTTAGATATAGGATCATCGGAAACCATAGTTTTGGACAAGTCCAATGTTACCCTTTCACTACATTCTGATGCTTAAAATCCTAGGACACTGTCACATCCCCTACAAGTAGAAGTAGAAAGTTTTCCATTTTCCGGGAAAAACCTCTTAAGAAATTGCAAAAGTTTCATTATAAAAATGAATCTCTGTTAATGCAGTATTATTAAAGTGAAAGGTGTTAGGTACAAAAAACTATACAGAGTACATTTGGATTTCCACCAAATATATGATATGGTTGATGCATGTTATTATATGCAGTAAAATCACCTGAAGTTTATACATGAAACTGTTAAAATTAGTAAATTCCAAAATGTGAGATTTCACAGGACTTTTCTTTTTCAAATCTTAGAGTTCTGTAATGTGTAAGTTTTTTTTTTTTAGAAAGAGCATGAATTACCTTTTTTATCATCAAAAAAGTAAATGTTTTCAACCAGAGAAAAACTGTAAGCTTTGCTAAGTTTATCATATCTTCTATGGATTTGGAAAGAAAATGTTACAGTTTTCTTTTAGATGTGTTCTATTGACCATATTTAACTGGTAGCTGCAATTTCTACTTTTTTTTTTTTTTTTCAGTATCATGGGACTGTATGCTTCAGTTGTCCTTGTGATTGGGAAGTTTGTCCGAGAGTTCTTCAGTGGGATTTCCCACTCCATCATGTTTGAAGAGCTTCCAAATGTGGACCGAATTTTGAAGCTGTGCACGGACATATTTTTAGTTCGAGAGACAGGGGAACTGGAACTAGAGGAAGATCTCTATGCCAAATTAATATTCCTGTACCGCTCACCAGAAACCATGATCAAATGGACTAGAGAAAAAACAAATTGACACCTTAGGACACAGACTGCAAATCAAGATAACATTTGAGTTTTCAAAAACAAAAAAAGCACAATATTCTCATAAGAGCTATGCATTTCTCATTTGATGGAAATGGTTTCTCTTCTGACAGGCGGCCAAAGGGAGTTGGCTTCCTTTTATAGTCAAGGCTACCTTGCAAGTCCAGGCGCTGTTGGAAAAGTGATTTGTACTTCCATTTCTCTGGATCAGGGCTACTTGGTTTATGTTTTCATCAACAGTGTCTTGCATTTTGATAGACTATGTAAAGGAATCGTGGATGGGGCTCCTCCCTCAGAGAAACAGAAGAGAAGGAAGAAGGAAGGACGCCATGTTTTCCTGTGTGGGACCTTGTCCTTCTGAAGGAGATGCTATCGCACAGGCCACGGCGCTTTGTCGCCAGTGGGGAAGCTGCTGAGGGGAGAATAGATGGACCTCAGCACAACCCAAATATGCAACAGCAATAGGAGGCTGAAAACTCCTAAACCTATTTCTAGGAGAAAAAGAGAGAGGGAGTTGATTACCCTTGAAGATGCCAGTGGATGGATAAGCCTCACTCTAAGCAAAAAGATAACTTAGTGACACTCTTACTGCCTTATCTTAACTGACGATTAATTAAAAAAAAAATTTTTTCCCCCAATAAACACCAGTGACTTCTCAGGAAAAAAAAAAAAGCAGCAAAACAAATAGATGGACACGGGCTTTGTTGAGACCCAGCTAGTGATTCACATCCATGGTGGTGGCTGTTCTACTTCAGAGAGCCCATCACTGCTCCTGGTGAAACACAGACAAGAAGTAGAAAGACGGGAAATGCCGCCCAGCAGAGGTGGAGAACCTTGACTTTGTAACTCTTTATCAACTGAGGTCATGAGCACTCTTCCACCTTCTCCAACCCCCAACACGCTTTTCCCCATTTCCATGATTAAACAATGGTTTTCTGTATGTGACATTTTTCCTTCCTGTTTTACAGGTATATCAAAGAGTTTACATATTCCAATTCACATTTTTACATCTGAGACGGGTTTTTTAAGTTCATAATTATGAAAGAAATATGTATATTGAGCTTGGGGAAATAAACAATGGTCTTTTCTTAAATTATTGTTACTGGTAATACAACCTCTTCATTAAATAACATTGTAGCATGGAAATTTATGACTGAAATGTAGTTTTCATTCCATATTAAAATACAGTTTCTGAGAATCGTTGAATGGACTAGATTATGTCGAGAAAAAATGATCCTATGTAGTTTGGGTTCAGGACTGACTCAAAATAAAGCACATCTTGCAAAGTCATTTTAAGAATATTCTTCATTCTGTCTTTTTGCATTTGATTTACGTGTTGTGTACAAGGAGTTTTTTTAAATTAACTGAGATAAGGATTCACTTGTTAGTTTGATTGGGGTTTTTTTCTCTCATGTAGGATCTCTATGTGAATAATATAAGCAGGAAATAACTATAACAAATTAATTTCCAGAGGAAATTATTACAGTGAATATAGAGCTTTAAAAAAAAGAGTTCAAATAATGTTCAGTGTATTCTAGAGAATTAGAGAATATTTGTTGAACTATGAAAGCTAGCCTGCTTCCAGCCTGCCAAAATAAACGACTCCAATCATTGAAACGATAAACTCAAACCGCTCAGGGAACTCCGGCTCATGTCCTGATTTCCCGACAACAGGAAGAATCATTATGCATATTTCTGGATCTGAATTCTTTCTTTTTAAAATGTCAACAGGGAATTTCCAGAGAGCATGTTCTAACACATTTAGGAAAGAGGAAAGTAGAAAAATGCTCCTGAAAAAAACACACAAAAAACTGTAAAGTCAAAATATATCAGATTGTAATATTCCTCAAGAAAACAATTTCCAGATTTCAAGGGGGGGAAAAGCTTCCCAAGTGTAAGGGGGAAAATATCAAAGGTGTTGACATAAGAAATGTCCAAACTTGTAGAGAATTTTTGGAAGAGTTTATTTGAGCCAAACATCTGCCAGGAGCAAGATCTCAGATGCTCCAGAGAATGACAGTTTTGCAGTTCCTTTTATGCCTTAGAAATTAAGAAGGGGATGGGATGAAGATTACAAGGAGGCAGGGAAAAAGCAAGGTATTTGTTTTGGCATGTGGACTTTACGTTTTCAACAAAGAAGTTAGTTGGTCAAGGTGGAAATATTAACTTACTTGAAAAATATGGGTGTCTGAGCAATAGGTTTCATGATTTCTACAGGTTTCTACTATTTTTAAAAGTTTATCTTTATTGCTGAAATTATTATAGATGTCTTCTTTGTTTTCTCCATTTACCATCTTCATCCCGCACCCATCCCAACCTCCAGGTATCAACTATTGAGTAAAAGCCACTGGGTGAAAGAACAAATGTTGCTCGTCTGCACCACAGCCCTTCTATCCAGGTGTGAGAAAAAGTAAGTGTGGCATGTCTGAACCTCCTACCCCCGTCCAGGAGGTGCTGAACCATTGACTGGAGAATGGAATTAGTCTGCTGTCATGACAGACTTAGACATGCTCCTTTCCAGCCCAGCAAACTTCTGCCACTTCTATCTAGGCTTTTATATCTAGGCTTTCCTCCTTATAGCCTTTAGTTATAGTCTATTACTAGATTACTTGTCTCTAGTCTGGTAACTAGAACCCCAGGAGATTTTAACGGTTGTATGCTCTGTCTGGAGTTGATCGTGTCAAAGGGTAAAACCACTAGAATTTGTAAGTCAATATTTTTAGTAACTTTCACATGATAAAGCTTTTCGTTCCTTTGTACATTTTCCAAAAACAGCAAGTTTGAGATTCATAACTGATGTGGTAATTAAATAAATAGAACAGGCATTGTTTTCCTAAGAAAGCAGATATCTCAGACTCTGATCAGGTTTTTATCTGTCACATCATGCCTCAGAAATTCCTGGACTTAGTCCATAATGCGACATGCTGTTCTCAACCTTAGCAGCACATTAGATAATCAAGTGGAGCTTACAAAAGTTTCAAATGTAAGCCCAGACTTACATTCACCTCCGGGCTGGACAACACAAATCTAAGGATATAGGGCATGAACACCACACTTCGAGTATTAAAGTTCAAAGGGTGATTCTAATTTTTAAATACCAGTAAGTTTTAAATTACTGGCTCTGGAGAACCCTGGCATTCTTAGGAGAAAAAAAAACAAAAACAAACAAAAATAAACAAAAAAAAAAAACTATAGCAAAAACAAGTAACACCTGTTGAGGATTTAAGGAGGCGCAATAAAGAGCCCTGCCTGTTTTGCCTTCTTGGGCTATGACACCTCCTCTAAAGCAAGAGGAAAGGGAGGGAGAGCTGAGAGGCTAAAATGTCACCTTTACAAAAATTAACTTAAAGTGTATCACAGATCTAAATGGAAAACACCAAACTACAACATTAGGAGATAACATAGGAGAAAACCTAGAGGGTGTGTGGCAATGACTTTTTAGATACAACACGGAAGGTATACTCCCTGGAAGAAACAATTGATGACATGGACCTCATTAAAATTAAAAACTGCTTTTCAGTCCAGCCAATGTGGCTCAGTGGGTTGAGTGTCATCCCATGAACCAGAAGATTACAGCTTGATTCCTGGTCACCTGCCTGGGCAAGATAGAAACATCAGTGATGAGAGAGGATCATTGATTGGTTACCTCCTGCATGCCCCCCACTGGGGATAAAGCCCCTAGCCCAGGCAAATGCTCTTACCAAGAATAGAACCAACCATGATCTCCTGGTTCATAGGTTGATGCTCAACCAATGAGCCACACTGGCCATTGAATGTTTATTTTTTTGAATGTTTATTTCCACATGTCCACATTTCTAATTCTCATTCTTTCAGGCAACATAGGTAAGGAATACCAGCCAGGAGGTTGAGGAAAAACGGATTGTGTGGTGAAAGACTGAACTCCCCAGCCTCTGCTATTAGCCCAGCAGCACCTGCCCAGGTGTTTGCTGTGAGCACAGGAAGAGCCTACCTCCTGTCCTAATTGCAATGCCCACATATATAAGGTTCTAGAACTCATGACAAGTTTCCACCTTCTTGGAATTAGTTTAAAATTCATAGCAAAGGGAAAGAACTGAAGCTAAATGTCCCAAATGGAGAAATGGGAATTGCAAATGATATTTAAATGGTTCTGGGCCCCTATTTCTCTGCTGTCTGTCCACCATCAAGTCTGAGAAACAGCCTCTGAAGGCCACCTTCCCTCAGGAAACTGTAAGATACCCAATGCTTCTAACATCAACTGCCCACTAGAGTGCAGGTTGGCCAGGACCAGTAGAAAGCAGGAAGAGGGAGGGTGGTGAAGAAGCACCTGAGAAGGTAGTTTGAGTCCCAGGCAAGGTGAGCAGCGCTGTGCTACTGGTGCCGAGTTCTGTTAAGAACCACAGGGCTGGTTATGGAAAGTGCTCAAGCACAGCTTGGCAGTTGCATTTCAGTGAGCTTAGCAGGCTTGGTGGCTGAGACCCAGCCTCATGTCAGCAAATGTGGAGAGCGGCTACAGTGTTTGGATAGGTTCAAGCCTCAGATTAATGAGAGGGCACAGTCCTCTCGTGGCAAAGCCACATGCAAGTCCCAGCTTGGAGGGCAGAGCCCTCCCAGCACAATTATAGCCAAAGGCTATAGTTGTAAACTTGACCTAATGGTCCAAACCTGTGGTCCCACGTGGTTGGGTAATGTGGGCTTGATAGAGTTCAGGTGCATGTAATTGAGTAGATTAGAACATTATTAACATCTTGACCACGCCCTTACTTAGCTTCCTGGAATCTGGCTATAAAATAAAGACTTGGCTTAGAGGCAGGGTTTCTGTCTCTCCATTAGAAAAGCAGCGTCCCACTGAGCCTCAGCTTTATTCCCTTGTCTGTCTTTTCTAAATCCTTCACCGCCCTCCCCACCCCCCTTCAGGTTTACCCTTGGCCACGCTGGCATGGCACAAGCAAACAGTTGAGTGCTGGAAGAGCATTTAGTGACTTTATTACGTCAAGCCATGTAATTCATGGAGGGGCCCGGTGGGTCTAATATTTGAAGTGGCTGTGTATTCTATTGGATTCCATGTATCTGAGGGCTTGGTACCTAGGTGCAGTCACAGACAGGTGAACCTGTGGCCAGCACACTACAGTCAGCACCCCAGGATCATCTCCTCCACATACTCCATCCCCTTCCCACACTCCATCCCCTCCCACAGCCTCGCAGCCCTTTCAGTTTCTTGACTTCTCCCCAGCATCCTCTCTCATGTTCTTCCAGCCTTTGGTGTGTGTGGCGTTATCCTCCTCTGCTGGGTCCAATGTTAGTTACTATTTGGGAAGGGGAGGTGGGGGAGGGGAAAGGCTTCCGTTTTTCAGAATGGGAAAGGAGTGGGAAAAGAGGCCCCCAGTAGGATCTGACCTCCAGGCAAAACCCCTAAAAGGTAATAGGATTTTTTCCACTGTGGGGATTCACATCTTATTGGCACATCTCATGTCATTTTTATACTAAATGAATTTTTCTCTCCTTCACAGGTAAATTACAGTTTTAAAAGACGTTTGTTAGTTTGTTTATTTGATTACTCAGGAGGTAGTAGGCTCTAGGCTTATAAATGGAACTATCACCTTGGGTAAAAAGGCATTATCCAGTCACTTAACCTAACTTGAGAGGCAAACCTGGCAGCTCAGACAGCCTGGGAGCTTCCAGGTCTCAGAAGGAAGATAGCCCTGGCCACTGTGGCTCAGTTGGTTGGGCATCATCCCAGTATCCACTTCCTCTGCATTCACTTCCTGCTCACTTACACTTTTTCACATGGTCAAATTCCTAGTGGGAAAACTAGGTGACTTTTATGGAGAAAAATGAATTTCTGTAGCTCTTTAGAAATATGGCTGATTTTGGTTTTGAGTCTCCAGGCTCAAAACCAAGTAGCCAATATTTGGAAATGCCTGGCTAGCCTCATTAATAAGTGAGGATAAATGAGGTATCCCTGGTGGCCTCATGCCTGTCCTCTCAGTTAACTAAAGAAGTCAGCGAGTCACCCACTTGGTATGGGTTCAGTGACGCTATGAAGGCTCTCACACCTCACATGAAGTCATCCCCCTCCCCCCATTGAATGATATGATTTTTTGAGGGGGGAAAATTAATTTGCAAACTTAGATAGGGAGAATGCTCACATGCAAGCACCACTGGGAGAGATGACACACTGCCCAGAAATTTTGCCAGGAGTGTATTAGCTTCAAGTGTGTGGTTCAATATACGAAAGGAAGATGAGCAGGAAATATGAAAGGCTGAGAGGTGAGGGCATAGGAGGCTCCCAAGGAAGCAGCTCACCTGGG